GCGGTCAGAGCGCCGTTGCCCACCCGCTCGAGTTCCTGACCCCAGCCTTTCGGCACTCCCCCACGCCTTCACACCCCTGAACTTTCTTTACTTTTTTCCCCCCACCAGAAGGGGCTATACTACCTGTTTCGCTTCTGAGCCTGTCCAAGCCAGTCTTCTGCTTCTAACCTAATTATCCTGTAGACCTCAGTTGAAAGGTGTTTCTGGGGGGTAGCCTTCCCTTTCTTCCCCCGCCCAGCTGGATGAGATGCACCTGTTTTGTGCTCCCCGCTCTCTCTCTGTACAGTAATTAACGCACTGGGTTGCTTGTTTGTCTTGTCTTTAAACTGTCGACTCGACGGACAGGGGGACAGTGTCTGCTCTTCCTCACCGCTGTATCCCCGGCGCCAGTGCGGCGCCTGGCGTGCGTCAGGCACGTGCACACACACCTGCCCAGTTGAAGAATCCCTGTCCCCCCTCTCCACTTCAACGCCGTTTCACTAAAAGAACCACAGTCAGCGTATCGTGTGCCTGAAATTTAGTGAAAATCTCTAATGATTCCTAATAATCAAACCTGGAGGTCTTTCCAGCCTGATGGATTTACCAGATGTCTCACGAGTAGTTCACATCTAATGTATACATGGAACTTCGTCTTTCCCTGTACCACCATGTCTTCCTCCTCCCCCCCCCCAAAGAATTTTTTTTTCCTGTCATTAAAGACTCCAAAGTAAGACATTTTTGGAGGGGTGCCCCTTACACACACATGCGTTCAGACGTACACGTGCACTCACTTGTTAACTCCCAGCGCAGAAATGACTCTTACCGCAGGCTCCTCCTTCTCATCGCCCCACTCGCACCATTACAACAGCTGTGTGTTCTCACCGTCGCAGGTTCGAAACCACCCTGCGTCGTGACCAGAGCCAGTTGTAGCTCTGTCTTGCCAGTGAATTTTTTTTTTTTTTCCCCAAACTTCGTACACATAAAGTTCATCATACTCGACCCTTCCTGCCTTTCTGAATTCATCACCTCCTCCCTTCATCCTGACCTTGCTCCTTACCTGGTACTCTACACACACTGGCCCTTTGATGTTGTCTTAATTTTCTTCTTCTCTATTTTAGCGTCATACCGAGATTGCCTTCCTGGTCTTGTAGGAACTCGTCTTTCAGGACCCAGCATGCACGTCACTCGCGAAGCCTTCCCTAGCCGCCTCCCTGTCCCACAGGGCGAGTTAGATGTTCCTTTTTATGGGTCCTTATCTCCTTTACAACCTCCTTGCTGTCTTATAATTATCTCCAAGTGTGTCTCTCCCGTGGAACGTGAACTCCTGCAAGGAGAGAGGTGATTCTGTGCTTCCATGTGTACCTACAACCCCGCACACAGGTGTGAATAAAGAGTGCTGAACAGTAATCGGCAGCATTTGCTTCGGAGAATGATGGTTAGGAGATAACTTGGTTCTCTTATTTGGAGAATCTGGCTCGCTGTGAGGAACATTAATGTCTCCTGGTTTTGGTTTTCCAGTCTGACCAAAAGCATAACCTGTACATGTATCTCTCCAGGAGAAAATTCTGAGGAGGCCGGTACAACCAAGGGACCGACCCAGGAAGTCAGCCCTGGAGATGCCGGTGTTCATGCAGAGCCAGGAAAGCCCGAGGTGGAAGCGAAACATCCCAGGAGCGTGGCGTTTCAAGACTGTGAACAAGAGCGAGCTGGCAAAACCCAAGGTCCAACCAGTGACGCTAAAACCCCCAACACAGAAACTCGGAATAGTTGCTTAATTAAATACAATGTGTCTACTACACCATACTTGCAAAGGTAAGCTTTTAAAATGCAGTGTGCAATGAGTTGTTTTTATGGTTGGGATTAATAATAAAATAATAAATAACAAAAGTCTTTAAGGTAGCTTTTGGATAGAACTTTGTTAATAGAAGGGTTTCAAACAAATTGAATGTCATTGGGCCATCACCTTTTAAATACTGTATTTGCTTGCTTTTCCCTAAATATTGCTACTTTGAAAAAAAAATTTTATATCACTTTATTTAATTGCTGTTTGTGTATTATTGGTAACAGTAGGTTTTGGAAATTCAAAAGTTAGCCACTTCTACAGATATTTGCGTATCGGTTGTTCAAAAGTTGTAACAAAAAATTGGGGAAGTTTCTTATTTCAAGGAGCTTGCAGTGTACCTCTCTATAAGACAAACGGCCGCATGGTTGTACGAGTTATGGTTTGAAAAATGACATCACAATACACAGTGAAAATGTTAATGTGCTTTTTAATTTTTAACTCTGGGAATCCTTTTGTGGATTTTTTTTTTTTTTAGTGTAAAAAAGAAAATGCAGTTTGATGAAATGAATTCTACCCTTAAAGAGCTCAAGTTTATTACTCCAGTGAGACGTTCTCAGCGGCTCCAGGACAAGACTTCCAAACTGCCCGACATGCTGAAAGACCATTACCCCTGCGTGTCTTCGCTGGAGCAGCTCACGGAGCTGGGGGATGAGACCGACGCCTTCATTTGCCGCCCCAACGCGGCCCTGTACCGGATGTGCGTGGAGACGGAGACCGAGTCGGAGCAGTGAAGCTGGGGCGAGAAACGGGGTTTCATGACCCTGGGGTGCCTGTTTGCTTGTTGTGGCCTCGTGCAGCTCTTAGGTCAGGAGCTGGCCAAATGCCTAAGTGTTTGGGGCAGTGAACCCTTCTTCCCCGACACTCTCAGCACAGCAGGCGCGGCGGGTGCCTTCTGGGCCGGAGAGCCCGTCCGCCTCTGCGCTCTCAGACTCCGCGTTCTCCCAGGCGGGCGCGTTTGTCCGCCGGTTGACCACGTTCCTTTAACGATAATTAACAAGTGTCCTAGTGTTGGTGGTATTTCTAAAATAGCTAATAGTTAAACTTGTTTTGTAACATGAAAACTTAGGTGTTAAACCACGTCCCTGGAGCATGATAGTTACGCACTGTAAACAGCCTCGTCGCCCCACACACGTATCACTAATAAAAGTGTTTATGCCTTCGAGCCGATGCTCGAACGGCCTGTCTGCTCCACCAGGTCTGCGCTCACTCGGTTCAGCTGTGCTGACCGCGTAGTCGGTCCTTGCAAGAGCCGAGGTGACTTTAATAAAACTACAGTGGGGACGTGGTTGAGAATCGCATAGGCTCATTCCGTTCATGTGTTCGTTTGTGTCACAGCGCCTCTTACTGCCTTCGCATGTTCTGAGTGTAGAATGTTTATTTTTAAACTATGCCTACTATGTAAACAATAAATTAAAATATCTACATAGTGCTGTTTCGATGTCATTTGTTTCAACAAACATGAAATGCAGTTTAACCACAGTGAATAAATTCAAACCTTGCCTCTGGAAATGAACAGTGGTATCTGACTTGAGGTTTTCAGCACGTAATATAAGTTATGTGCTTAATGGTTTTTTTTTAAAGTAATCTCTGTACCCTAATTTTACCGTAATTATTTGGCTCTTTTCATCCTTTGTACAAGTGGCACAACATATGCCACTTTGAAATAAACTTCCAGCCGGCTTACCTGTAATAACCTGTAGCTTTTTAGTACCTACAACATAACATTCATTTGGTCATAAAGCATAGCTTAAAATACCTCTGTAAAAGAGAACTTGAGATAAACTTCTATATTTGGACGAATTTTATGGAGCGTTGACCCCCTCCGTTAACTGAGGGAAAATTTATCTCCAAGTAGTCATAGTTCTAATATTTGCAGACACAGGTCAAACTCCTTTTCACATGCTTAAGAGCAGGCACGTGTGGGACCTAGGGTTTGTGCCCAGCGAGTACCTCCATGGTGCAAGAGCTGTGAGTTTCAACAGCCCTGTATTCAGAATCCCAGCTCTTGCCTTTCTTTCAACAATATGGGACCATGAAGATGTTACTCAGTGGAACGCACCTTTCTGAAAGGTGGAGATAATCCCCTCTGGCCGTTTTGTACCCTGCTATCTGCCCATCCCCCTGGGTGACTGGCCCAAATGAACCCCTGACCCGAGCTGGACGGTCAGGATCCTTTCCATAACATGTGCTTGGAGTCAGGACCGAATTAGTCTTGCCTATGTAGTCAGACCTGAAATAGGTCAATATGAGGCACTGGGTGACATATAAGCAGGGAGGCCCAACCTTTTGGGGTCTCTGGCCCACACTGGAAGAACAGTGGTCTTGGGCCACACATTAAATACACAAACACTAATGAAGACTGATGAGCAAAAGGAGGTTTTAAGTGAGTGAACGGTTTGGGGCCACACTCACAGCCATCCCCGGCAGCATGCAGGCTGCGGCTGGGGCACCCCTGAAGAGTTAACTGTAGCAAAGGTCAGCAGTCGGTGGAGCTGGGAAGTAACTACTCCAGGAAGAAGCAGAAACTGTGACCCAGGGTTTTCCTTGGTCAAGGAAGTCACGGGCCTAGGATGTGACTATTGACTATTAGTAGCCCTTAGTTGGAATCTTCCGACCATCCTATGCAGTCACTTCCAGTCTCTTAGTTTGTATGGTCAGCGATTCAGTCCTCCCCTGGGCGGGTCAGGTTTACTCTGGGGCCCCTCTTAAATCCACTTTAAAGGGCCCAAGTGATTACACTGGTTCCCCCAGACAAACCCAAAACAATCTCCATAGTTTAAAGTGAGCTGGTTGGCAACCTTAATTCTACCTGCAAGCTTAATTCTCCTTCCCCATGAAACTGAACCTATGCACAAATTCCAGGGAGTGGGGCGTGGGGCATCATTCTGCCCGCCCCCCCTCCTTGCCCAAAGTCACGGCCAGTGAGCCGAGCGCCTGAAACTTAACTAGATGGGCCGTTCGCTTAAACTGGAGAGAAAACTGAAGTTACTGGGGGACACTTGACCCTCGTTACCAGTGGCATTGTTCTACAGCCACGTGGGACCAGTTTTTGAAAGGCGCCTTTCGTAGGCCCGCCTACTCCGAGAACAGGGCCTCCCGCCCGGCCAGGGAGGCTTCCTCGGTTCGCAACCCGAGAGACGACCGAGGGCCCGCCCCGCGGAAGCGCGCCAGGCGCGGGGGCGGAGGGACCACGCGGGGGCGGAGGGACCACTGGAGTCGCGGGGAAGCCCGTGAGCGGTCAGGTCGGGCAGGTGGCCCCTGGAGGGCGTGGCGCCGCGTGGGGCTGGGGGCGCAGCATGGCGGGGAGACGCCGCGGTGTCCGCGCTGGGTCGGGGCGCGGGGGAGACACGCTCGGCGAGCGCTCGTAGGTGCCGGGAGGGGGCGCTGCCCGGGGGCCCGGGAGCAGAGATTTGGTTGCAGGTGAACTGGATGGCTGGTCTCCTGCGGTCACCCCGCGCGCACCTTCCCGACCTCCCCTGTGTCTCAGCGGGGCTCCCACTTGTGGCCCTGGCAGCTCACTATTAGTTTCTGCTGGGCCTGGGCAGGCGAGGAGACACTTGTCACATTCAGAGTGTATTCAAGTCTCTTAGGGATCCTATGGGCGTGGTATCAGGATAAATGAGGGCCGAGTGCACCAGCTGTGGTTTTCGGCGGAGACTTGTCAGTGGTTTCTGACTGATCAGTTCTGTCCCTTACACAGAGCAAAGGCCGGCAGGGGAACAGAAGAGGAATACGGAGAGACTGGGCCTCCTTGTTAAATCGGGTCATGAATACCAGAGGTCACTTACAATAGTGGCAAAGAACTTTTTTCCGCCAGGTCCCTAAATGCACGGAAAAACCTAACTGTCCTTGCAAAGTGGCCTCGCAGACAATGCGTCTGACTTGGTTCAGTGGAGAAATTATTCCTAGGTTGCCTGGTAATTCTATGACCGACAGGAGGACAAACGGAGGTTTACAGGGGGCCATGCCACAGGTTGTGGTGTGTCATCTTTGCGTTACCTGCTTTGCTCTCTGTGCCTCGTCATTCCTTGTGGTGTGATTTTTAATAAAATGAAACACTACAAGTTAGCTTTCTGAAAAATGAAGTTAATTCTTCATCCAGTGTTTTTATGGAATGAAAAAAAACCCCACCTTTGAAGGTTTCAGTGATGATAATAGCTGTGGTTTATTTGGGACCTTCTGTGTACGAAAGTATTGGGAACTTTCTGTTCCTTATCGCTGATGTATTAAGTCGTCCAACTAGTTGCTTCATCCTGGATGTGTAGAAGGGGAGACCGAAGTTCAAAGACTGAGTTTAATGCCTCTTCTCAGTCCCAGGCACCTCCAGCTAGAGCTGCCGGTCCCCATCCCTGACACATCCCCACTGCTGACAAAATCAAACAAAAACCATTGCGGCTTTCCTCTCTTTGGGGGAATGATACCATTGTTAGCCCAGTTTACACCAGGAACCTGGGAGTCCATCTTGTCTCCCTCTCCCTCCTTGTCCTCCCCAGATTTACCACGAAAAGTCTTGCCAATTCTTCCTGCGAGTTTCCTTCCTACTTTCTTTATCCCCGTCGCCCCCACCCTGTTCCTTTCCATCACCGTTTCCCTACCTTTTCTGTAGGCGTCTCCTCCCTGGCCATCCCCACCCCCTTCCCTGTCCAGCCCATTGACTCCACAGCCAGGGTGAGGGATTGTTCTAACACGCAGGTAGGACTGTGTTGCTAAAACCCTTCAGAGACAGCCCTTTAGTTACCCCAAGGATAAATCCAGCAACCTGAATTTGACTTACAATGGCCTTCGCACAGGCCCTGTCTGCTTCACTAGCCTGTTCCCGTCTTCTCTGAACTCCTTGAACTGAACACCGTCTCTTCTGCTCTTCAATACGTGGCTCCCTTTGGCCCCATCACTCTCTGTCCGCTCTCTGCCTCCACAGCTTCCATTCGTCTTGAGCCTCCAGCTCAAATACCATTTTCCTCACTCCCCTGGACACTTCTGCTGGCTGCCAGCCTAGCTCTCTCTGTGAGACTCTGCACCCTCCATCTGTTGAGACCTGGGGTCCGTTTGCAGTGGGGCGCCTGTGGTGGCAGGGATGACGACAGACTCACGCAGGGCAATAAATAAAACCTGGTGCAGGCTCCCAGTGTCAGGCCGTTGAGTGAATAAAGAAACAGGTTGTCCTGCTGGTTGTCCTGCCGTGGTGGTGATGAGAGACACTGTGGGACGAATTCTGCCCCTTGAAGATGAATGTGATTCTCTAATGTTTCTGTTTTGGAATCTAGTTTGCGGGAGCCCGTGGTGACTGGAAGAGGAGCCGGCCGCGTGGGTGCCCAGCATGGATGGCTACACGGTCCTGCGCGTGATCGGGGAGGGATCCTTCGGCCGAGCCCTTTTGGTTCAGCGGGAAAGCAGCCCTCGGACGTTTGCCATGAAGGAAATCAGGCTTCCCAAGGTCGTTGCTAGAGAAATTAGCTCATGTTGAATGTGTGCAGGCGATTGGTAGAAGAGAGGGAGTTCCTGAGAGTTAACGTGGGATTGCTGCTCGGTGCAAACGATGGAATGGGTTGGCTCCCTGGGTGTACAAAGCCTTGATATATTTCGTGTGGTTCTTGGGATATTGTAATTAACAAAAGGGGAGGAAAATAGGCAAAGGTGACGTCGGCTGTTTACCTCAATGAGAATAATTCATAACAACTGCTAATTTTGTATGCCTAAGGGTGTATGGAATCTTTGCCAAAAACAACTCAAGTGCAGTATTTTTTTTTTAAATCTTCACCTGAGGATATGTTTTTATTGATCTTAGAAAGTGGAAGAGAGAGAGAGAAAGAAAGATTGATCGGTTGCCTCCTGAATCAGTAGACACCCCAGCTGGGGATTGAACTCACAACCTAGATATGTGCCCTGACTGGGAATAGAACCTGCAACCTTTTGTTCTATGGGATGACGCTCCAACCAACTGAGCCACCCAGCCAGGGCAACTCAGGTGCAACGTTAATGAAAAAGGAACGTAAAAGTACAATGAACAGCAAAGACCTAAAATGCTACCGTTTGGTATCAGAGAAGCTATTCAGCTGCTCCATTTACAGGCCTCATTTCCGTGTATGATGAAGAACGTGATGATTTATCACTATTTGTCACTCTGTGTCATAGTTGTCATAGGAAAGAATCCATGCCATGGGGGCTGCTTAATACTGTTCTGATCAATTTTAAAAAAATACATTTTAATATAATAAAATTCCGAAGTGTTATTTCCCCCCTGCCACATTCTTGACCTTGTTTAGTGGTTTTCAAACTTGAGTGGGCATCAGACCACTCAATGGTGGTCTGCTTAAAACCCAGATTGCTGAGCCTCACTCCCCCCACCCCCAGTTTCCATTTGAGGAGGTCTGGGTGGGCCCGTGAATTTGCATTTATAATAAGTTACCAGTTAGTGTCGATGTCGATGTCGCTGGTCTGAGAATGCTTGTTTCCTAAGTGGAAGGCAAATCAGTATTTCATCCTCACACAGTACATTAGGAGGTAGACAGTTTGGGGGACTTGCTTTGTGTGTGGTCTTTGCCCATCTCTGCTATAGTAATACACCAATACATTCTTTCTTTTTTTAAATCTGGGCCAGTGGACAAAGTGATGCAGACAGTTAAAACATGGGACCTCTGGTTGTTCTTTAAGGATATACTGTTGTTAATGGCACACCGGCTGTCCAAATCAGAGTGTGACTAGGCTGATGTTAAAACTAGTCTACGTCTATAATTACAAGGCTGCATCAGCTGAAGTACGCAAAAAATAGCCACAGCTGAAAAATTGCCACATGTTGTCTCTTAGAGTTTGGTAAACCTAAGTCGGGTCAGAGTGCAGGGCTGTAAAACTGTGTCTGGCACTGAAGTACTGTATAAACCCTACTGTTGGTCGGGAAGTGGTCTGCTTTCCGATGAAGCACTCCATTTGCACTGACTTAAAATCTCCTTCTAGTCTTCCTCTGAGACACAGAATTCCCGGAAGGAGGCTGTTCTGTTAGCCAAAATGAAACACCCCAATGTCGTGGCCTTTAAAGAATCATTTGAAGGTAAACAGGAATTCCACCCCCCCCCCCATACATGCGTGTCGGCACTTGGTTTAGGGCCCCGGCAGTTTCCTAAGGAGTCCCCCCGTGTTTCCCAGCTGAAGGACACCTCTACATCGTGATGGAATATTGTGATGGAGGGGACCTCCTGCAAAAGATTAAGCATCAGAAAGGAAGGCTGTTTCCTGAAGATACGGTAAGAGGCTGGCTGACACGGTTTTTCCTCAAGATTTGGAAGTGGCGTGTGTCTCGTGAGACCCGTGTAAGTTAGAATGACAGCGTTGACGTCTGAGGACTTGACCCGCCAGGGAGAAAGGCCTCGTTTCTGTGTCCGTGGTTCCTGCTGTCAGTCAGGATGTGGCTGCCGGACGGGTTTTCAGGACGTAAAGTAGGTAAAAGTTTATCAAGTATTGAGGAGTAAAACGTCCATGTTTAGAAGATTTTAAAAATTGTATTACTCATATTTTGTGCTAGATATTTAAATTTTTTATTTTTGTTGTATTTCAAGTTTATTTTTTAAAAGATTTTATTTATTGCCCTGGCTGGCGTAGCTCAGTGGATTGAGCGCGGGCTGCAAACCAAAGCATCGCAGGTTCGATTCCCAGTCAGGGCACATGCCAGGGTTGCAGGCCATGGCCCCCAGCAACCACACATTGATGTTTCTCTCTCTCTCTCTCTCCCTCCCTTCCCTCTCTAAAAATAAATAACTAAATAAATCTTTAAAAAAATATTGTATTTATTTATGTTTAGAAAGAGGGGAAGGGAGGGAGAGAGAGTGGGGCGGGGAGAGAGAAACAGCGCTCCGTTGCCTCTTGCACACCCCCGGTCGGGGACTGGCCCAACCCAGGCAGGCGAGTGCCCTGACTGGGAATCGAACTGGCGACCTTCCGGTTTGGGGGACAACGCCCAGTCCACTGAGCCACACCAGTCAGGGCTCCATTGTTATTTAAAGTTTAGAGGCAGATGAATTTGTTTTTTATTTCCAGATCTCGAAAAAAATGAAGCCCACCTTTCTGTTCCTTGGGAGCGCCTACTCTCAGTCTTTTCCTCTCCAAGTTGAGCGCATTTCCTTGAGCCTGGGACCACTGCCTTTTTAATGGCAAATGGCACGCTAATATTATTGGAATGAACCGCCGAAGGAAACGAAATACACAGCTTTAATGGGGTTTAGCTTGTTTAGGATGTAAAACTGTATTGGTATAAATATTTTTTATTTAGACGTCGTTTTGTTTAAAATAGGGGTTCCGTAGCAGGAGGTCAGCATGGGCTTCAACTAGATGAGCTTCCCGAGCAAAAAGGGAAAAATCAGTCTGACGCTGAGTTGTAGGTGCCTGGAAATTCTGGGGATTTGTGAGCAGAACACTCACCTCAAAGGGCTGTGGACAATTGTGATTAAATCGTTTAATGTTAATAGAAGAATATTCTGAAAAAGGAAGTGAAAATCTGATGCGATGATTGCTCTATAAAATCATAACAAATTCATTTTTCTAAGTGGTAAACTACCTTTGTGTATTTAAGAAATACTTTGATTTGGTTGAGTATGAGAAATATATAGTGGGAGTTTTTTAATTAAAATAAATTGCTGTTTGGATCATACATAAAATGATAAAATGATGAAACGTGGAATTCACAGCTTTTCTGACTTTCTGCAGGTGACACTGAATCTCAGTAGAACTGTATCATTTTTAGGAGTTCTGGGTTTACATCATGTCAAACCTAAGTCAACTAAGGCCTACAGATGATTCTTTGGAATTTAGGGTTAACATGAACCAGTTTTTGCATTCGTGTAGACTTGCATCTCTTTTTTTTAAAACAGATCCTTAATTGGTTCACACAAATGTGCCTCGGAGTCAACCACATTCACAAGAAGCGTGTGTTGCACAGAGACATCAAGTCCAAGGTCAGTGGAATACATTTGCGACTCAAAAGAAAAAACCACCCCAAAACTATTTTATTTAGTCTTTTTTCTGATAGTCTATCGATACTTCCTTTCAGGACACTTTTATTTAGTGTAGGAATATTTCTCAACTTACTGCTCACACTCGCCAAATAAGGTACCGCTACCTGAGAAAAAGTCATTCATTCTCAGCAGTGTTACGGTATATGTTTCCAGCTCACTTAGCAACCGCTCACCAAGTCCGTATGTTCTAGAAGGAAAATGGCTGAGGACTGGCCTGCCACCTGGAGTCAGGATGCTGACACAGGTCCCCCGTCAGTGGATTCAGGGTCCATTCATACAGTCTGCGGCTTGGTGTCAGATTTCTGATCAGTCACCGGGAATTCTCACGTGGGGGGGGGCGGTGCGGCTGGCGAGAGGCTGCCTCGTCCTTTTGTTGCACTTGGGGACTCAGCCCTGAGCGTTGCCAGCACCTCTGCCCTTAGTCTGCACCGGCAGACGGGTTCTCTGGAGACCTCTGCCTCCGGCTGGGACGCGGGAGGATGTCTTCTGAGCTCTTCTCTTTTCAACGCAGAATATCTTCCTCACCCAAAACGGAAAAGTGAAACTGGGGGACTTTGGATCCGCCCGTCTCCTCTCCAGGTGTGTACCTCTATTCCGCAGTAGAGGCAGCGGTCCCAGCACCCCTTGTCAGGCACGTCCTGTGCTCATTCTCTGCCTTTCTGTGCTTGTAGTCCCATGGCGTTTGCTTGCTCCTACGTGGGAACGCCTTACTACGTGCCCCCGGAGGTCTGGGAAAACATGCCTTACAACAACAAGAGGTAGGTGCTGTGCCGATTTGGTGTTGCAGGGGTGACAGTTGGGTGACAGGCACTGCAGCCTACACGTGAAGTCTGGTTTTAAAAAAAAATACCTGAAAGCAGTGTCAGATCTGAATTCCCGGGCTTCTGGGTGCAATCCTCCTGTCCCGCCTGCGGGAACCGGAGTGGAGAGGAGCTAACTGGGAATGGCGAAGAAAAGGCTACTGGTTTCTAGGGTCAGTGGGAAGTGCGTCGCTGGTTCTTAGGCTTTGCCGATGCCACTTTGAAAATCCCCAGAGTGTAGGCTGCAGTCAAACCCTCGAATCAGAATGTCGGGGCGGGAAGCAGGCGTCAGTGATTCTCCAGCTTCCAGTCCAACGTGCGGCAACATTTAGGAGCCTCTGGAGCATGTCGTTAATATTGACAGGAGCAGATCATCAGCACTTGAGTGGTGGGTTAATTGATTGCAGGAAGATACAGTATGAAGACTTAGAATAATTACACGTTACTTATGTTCTGCATGCCGAACATACTCCATTGTTCGGAATGTAGCGCTCACACGGGGCAGAGAGAGTCCCCAGAGGACACGTTTTTGGCTTATGGTAGGGGAGCACACTGCCCCTTAGAGCCGTCCAGTGGGCACAAAACTGTGCCCAGGTAGATTGCTGGCCATCGGGAGGTGCGCTTCAAGGCCTGGGCGTGGGCTGCCCCGGATGACTTCTACAGCCCTCCTTTCAACTGCGGCAGGCAGTCGGGGTCCTCAGAGCGTCCCTCCTGCACCAAACATGCTGGAATGGCGCCCAGGCCGCCCTGACGAGGGGGAGCGGAGGCTGGGGAGCAGGGAGTTTATCGCGAGCATCACTGTTAGTAAGTCCCTAAGCATTAGACAAAAATTGCCATATATTGTATTTCTGTAGCTGGGAGTTACTTGCAGTATCCGTTCGCATTAAAGGTCATTTTCCACGTGCTAATATCGGACAGTACAAACGTGTTCGTGTGATAACTCATAGCCCACACACTGCTCCTCTCCGTTTCCAGTGACATCTGGTCCCTGGGCTGCACTCTGTACGAGCTCTGCACCCTGAAGCACCCGGTGAGTGTTGCAGGCAGCGTGGAAGGGGCCGCCTCCGGTCATGTCTGGCTCAGCACGCACAGTGTGCACATGCGTCCACGGACGAACACGTCGTTTTGATGCGTTTCCGTTGCTTTCACCTTTGCCTTGAGTCACTTCTGTAGCATCAACGAATAGGAAATTTCCAGGATTTAGGGTTTTTTTTGGATTTAGTTTTTTATAGTTCTATGTTTAGCTTCCCTTCCCCTCCCTTCCTTTTTGCTAGTCTTCATTTTTTTTATTTTGGCATAATCTGTATAACCTAAAATTTATCATTTGAACCATTTCCATTGGGAGACTCTAAAAATGCTTGTGCCCAGGCCACACCAGACTAATTAAATTAGCATCTCCGAGGGGGTCCTGGGCATTAGCATTTTTAAAATGGTGATTCCAATGTGTGGCCCAAGTGGAAAACCATTGTGTGCAAATCGAGTTACTTTTTAAATTCCAGCATCTGATTTATGAGTATGGTCTTCATGTCCCTGATTTTTCTTCTTGGTAAACTTTCATATATGTGTTCTTATTTTTTTTTCAGTGAGAATAACTACTAAGGAGCAGAGGGCCCTGAATATTTCGCATGCAGTTTGTTCTGTCCGCTGCTTTAAGGCAAAAGTGGTTCTTAAGCCTTTAGGCAATACAGAGAAACCCAGGAAAATCGTTAAAAAGCCTCAGGGAAAGCAGATTCAATCTTACTTTTCATCACCTGAATTTTCCCTTTGTCATTTGTTGATTTTTTCCTTTTTTTACGTCTGCACGTGTGTATTTTATCAATAGGGTACTACACTTCCAAGTCAGAATGCCAACCTGTTTTTACAGAGGTGTCATCCAGGCTGAATCTGATGTTAATTCTAATACGCTTATTATCCAGTGAAAACTTTGAAAATGTTACTCTGGTGTGCCATTTTGTATCTGTTGTCCAATTTCAAAACTTAGTGGGAGGACAGGACAGGTGAAAAGGGTGTCACAGAGGACGTGTAAAACTGGAAAAGTCTCAAGGTCATTTTGCCTGGAAGCTGGCAGGCCTGGGGACTTCTGGGGAGGAGTGAAGTGAATGAACACTGCTCTGTGTAAGCCCTGAGTGTCATCTGACTTTTAAAAAAATCATATATAAGTTTATTTTTTAAAGTGTATGAGAAATATACATCTGCGAAAACCTTGATGATAAGGAATCAAGTACCCACAGCCCGCAGTGATGGTAAGACTTTCTCTAGATGGGAAAGCTTTTTACTGTGTACTACTTGAGTTTTTTATTTTCTTCTGAACCACCAAAAGATTTTGAATAATATCTTAAGAAAAATAACCAGGCAGCAGATCACATTTATAACATTAGAGTGATTCCTGTGAACTCAGTTCAGCTGGTGTGTTCTTATTTCCATCCTCCTTCCTTGCATCTGCTCTTACCGTTCAATTTTACTTTTTAGTTTCAGGCAAAGAGTTGGAAAAGCCTTATCCTCAAAGTATGTCAGGGGTCCGTGAGCCCGCTGCCATCCCATTATTCCTACGAGCTTCAGCATCTCATCAAGCAGATGTTTAAAAGGAGCCCCGCCCACCGCCCCTCCGCCACCACGCTCCTCTCCAGCGGCACTGTGGCCCGGTGCGTCCCGAAGTGCCTCACCCCAGAGGTAGGCTTGCTCCGCGCTGGGTGACCTGGGCGCGGGTCCCAGGTGTCTGGGTGACCTGGGTGCGGGTCCCAGATGTCTGGGAAAGTGGTTCGTTCTCTTTTAAACACAATCACATTATTGATACATGTTTGTAAAAACGCAAATGCAGAGTGTATAACAAAAACATAAAATGTTAAAAGGTCCTTTTCCAGCCCTGGCTGGCGTAGCTCAGTGGATTGAGCACGGGCTGCAAACCAAAGTGTCGCAGGTTCAATTCCCAGTCAGGGCACATGCCTGGGTTGCAGGCCACAGCCCCCAGCAACCGCACATTGATGTTTCTCTCTCTCTCTCTATCTCCCTCCCTTATCTCTCTAAAAATAAATAAATAAAATCTTTAAAAAGGTCCTTTTCCACTTCCCTTCCACAGTGCCCTTCCTCACATGTAATCACAGGTATAGTTTTGCATATCCTGTCAGAGTTTTTCCTGGACATGTACAAGTGTCTGTTGGTCTGTGTGTCCAGATTCTACAGTGCGTATTTTAAACGGCATTTTTACTCTTCACCGGTGAATATTATTGTGGGGAAGGATGTTGGTGACTCAGTGTCGTGGTGAGTCTAAAGAAAAGGGTGTCTATCGCACATCTTTAGATTCTCTGCTTTCCATTTTTAGATCATTGCAGAATATGGTGAGCAGGTGTTAGAAGAAACCAAAAAATCTAAGCACAGCACATCACGGAAGAAGGGTAAGAATTTTGGAAAGCTTTTTCTTTTTTTTAAATTAAGTATTCTTCTGAAATGTAGTGTAACATAAAAGAAACATGATTAGAGACATTTACACATGATTAGAGACGTTTTTCGGAAGTACCCCTCAGATCAAAAACCATTTTTTGTTACTGAGGACATAGTTCTGTACTGGATCTTCCACATTTAGTTTGCCGGGGGTCAGAAAGCTTGGTTTGGAGACTTGAGTGATGTGGAGATTGTTCTCCGTGTCATTGTTAGTGCTACGTTTACTCTGGTGTGTTACACGCAGTTAGAAGGCTTCTGTGGGCTGGCCTAGGAATGTAGCCATGAAAACACACTATCAATCTTATCAGAAATTGTATCCCCAAGTTTCCGGAGAACCATCTTGTAAAGAAAATTTTTAAAACAAGCTTTTACAACAGTTGGAACTGGTCACATGCTAGCTGCCCCGAAGTTCTTATGCACCTCCAGGCAGCCCTGAGCCCATTCCTAATGGGACGCTTTGTCTCCTTGGAAGCTGTCATCTCTGAATGTTTTCAGAGCTCTTTCTGTCCTTCGTCACTTGTCATTCGTGACTCAGACCTTCCACTTGAAAAGATCCAGCAAAGGCAGTGGTTATGACCCGAATAAGAGGGAAGGGTTAAGGGGTACAGAAGGTCACCCGCGGAAGGGGCGCGCTGTGGAACACCCACTGTCTGGTGACCATTCCCTTTGTGCCACGCACTAAAAGAGAGTCACTTTCACAGCCGACTTTCTTCTTCAAGTTAAACGTTCAGGGCTGTTTTTGGGAGAACGTAAACCTCTCTAGGGGTGTCAGCCCTCAGTCTTGCAACTCCGCCCTTTCCCCATTGTGTGCCAGGTAGCCCGTGACCTTGGTTTCGCTCGTGCAGTATTTTAGTTCAGGGATGTCCATTTACCCGTAAAATCAGAGAGAGGAGTGTGGATTCATCAGAGCCTTTAGGACAACTAGCGTTTGTTAGGCTCCGCACCGTGACAAGCGTGGTGTCCCGTGTGTGTCTGAGTCTCTCGGGGCTTCCTTCTTCTCCAGTGTGTGTGACATGGAAAGACACACATGTGATTCTTAAACACTCACCGTAATGATTCGTTTGCCTTTCCATCTGGAGTTTCTCTTCGTTTCCTTGACTGCGTAGACTGACTCGAGGAGCGGTGTTGTCCGGTCTGAGTTTGAAAGAGAGAAGCACTAACTAGTTCGCACACGGATGAAGGTAAGTGAACGAAAGACTGTGCTCAGTGTCCCCTTTTGCGTTTTAGGACCGGGGAGCGAGCCCGTCCCACCGAGGAAAGCCGGCTCAGCAAGTCCTCCCCGGCGCCAGTGGGAGAGAAACGCACCCACAGCCGCACTCGCCGCTCTGGGAGCTGCCTCCATCCTCGCCTCCAGCTTCCCCGCAGAGGACGACAGAGGTCAGGGGTCTGTCTGACTGTCATTTTCCAGTCGTGGTGTAATGGGCTAGGGGTTATTTCTTTTTTGGTATCGTCCTGGGAAGGATTCCTGGCGTCGCACAGGTGAGTGAAGTGGGTTGTAGAAGAGAGTGCCATGGAATTCCTTTTGCTTGGAAGGTGATCTGGAAGGTAGGTGCTGAAAGCCTTTTTTATTTGCCCCTAATGTTTATCTTTGCCCAACCAGGTGGCTCTGTCATAAAGTACAGTGGAAATAGTGCCCGTAAGCAGTGGCTCAGAGAGACCCCCAAAACGCTGCTGAACCTCCTGGAGAATGCCGACCTCGGCCTGGCCTTTCGGACGTACACCATATACAGACCAGGTGCTCCGTGTCTGTTACACATAACCGTGCAAACCCTTCGAATTTTTTTTTTAATTGCAAAATCTACATGACATGAAGTGTGCCATTGTGACCATTTTTAAGCATACCGTTCAGGGACGTTGGGGACATGGACAATGTTGTGTGGCCATCACCGCCTCCTTCTCCAGAACTTTCCCCGTCTTCCCAAAGGACACTCTACCCACCAGACGGGAACGCCCATCCCACCCCCCTCACAGAAGCCCTTTCACTTCCAAGTTATAATGTAACTCATAGGGTCATATTTTTAGGTTTTCTTGAATGTTTGCTAGCTAGTCGTGAGCTATAATTAGAATTCCCCATAGAACTATGTTACTTCTTTTTGCTCGTGTGTTGCCGTATTTTAATAAGCACGTGACTGCTTTCTCTGCAGAGTAGCTCAGTTTTTCTGTGCAAATATACTGGTGGCTTCACAGTTCAGACTTCCTCATGGTAACACACTGTCTCTGACTATCCAGAGATAACTTTCAGTGCTTTGACGTGAGTTCTGACATTCGAGGGTTTTGATTGTATGCTGAATTCCTCCTCTCGAAGGAAGCAGTATGTTTAAGTGTAATACACACACAGCGATGCCTACCGGGCCCGCTTTGTGCCAGGGGCCCTGCCGGGGGCTGGGGGACGCGGGAGACCCCGCAGGAGACAGAGAACACGGCGTCGCCCCCTGGCAGCCGGCAAGCTTTTCGAGGACTGGAGTCCAGCATGCAGGAAGCAAGTGAAAACTGTTTAACCTCCCATGTTTTCTGTCACCGTTCCTCCGAAGGCTCAGAAGGGTTCTTGAAGGGCCCCCTGTCTGAAGAAACAGAAGCATCAGATCATGTTGACGGGGGTGATGATGCTGTCGTTTGCGATCCGGAGAGACTCCAGCCTCGACTGGATGAGGAGGACACGTACGTTGCGATGCACCTAGAAAGCCTTAGTTGTGTGTGTGTGTGTGTGTGTGTGTGTGAGAGAGAGAGAGAGAGAGAGAGAGAGAGAGAGAGAGATTTAAATTATGCCTTGATAAGTTCAGGTTTCAGAGGAGCTGGTTGTATTATTTTACATCATAAGTGAATCTTCATACCCTGATCTTTTGTCGGGGGTGGGTGACGGGTAACAGTAATTTAACTAAATTCCTGCCTGAGCCCTATGTGTATCCTGGTTCGGCGTGGGCTTACTACTTTTTAATATATTAGAGTTTTATGTTGAAAATACTGTAGAACCAGTGAAAGAAGTGATCTTTTATAAGAAATAACTCTTTTTTTTCTGTGTTCAATTGCTTTGTGGAACTCACTTTTCAAAAATGTAAATATTGGTACGGTGGTGTTCTGCTTTGAACCCATCAACAAATACTTACCGTACCCCTAAGCTGGAGGCTTACTGTCCGTGTTGTTTCTTCACAGGGACTTTGAGGAGGAAGAGGAGTTCGACTGGGTGTCAGAACTGACGCAGCGAGCTGGCCAGCCCGGGGCGTCTGATGCCTGACGCCCAAGGAGCTTCCCGTGCCTCAGTCCCACTGAGTGTGTGTTTAAGCGAGGAATTACTGTCTGGACAATGTATGCTCACGGAAGGTAGATTCCCTTGGAAGCAGGAAAAAGAGGGTGTGGGGAGGACTGTGAATATTTAAAACTGTTCCTGATTCGTATTATGAGGTTTAAAAAATCTGCAGTAAGGTAAACTGTGAACTTCTCTGCCACTGAATTTTAGCAAACATTCCATAAGACGATTGAAAGGCATGTCCCATGTTTGAAATGCAAACTCATAAACTCCGCGCTGGGATCACCTGTTTGCTTGCAGTGAATCCCATTTGAGAATGGGGACTTTTCGTTCCTAATTTCTTGAAAAAATATTTCTGCAGTAAGTCTTGGGTCTTCTTGAAGCAAGGTCATTATCAGCTCTGTGGTCAGTTTCCCACCGTTGATAAAAATCCATCAAAAACATCATGATATAATTTACAAGGAAAAAGGTGGTTTTCCAAAGGCTGCAGGAACAGGAAAGAGATAGCGCTTCTTATTGGCATAAGCACAAACACTTAAAGCTAGTCCGACTGCAGGGGAGTCCGGTGCGGGGTTCGAACGCTCTGTAAAAGTGAACAGAAGGTGCATCTCTACTTCTTCCGCTGTTGCACAAGTCACGTGGGAGGCCTGCCTGAGGGCTGCGCGGTTGCAATTTGCTGGTCCGATGTCAGAGTTCGAAGTCTTTTTTGTGTATCTGACCCAGCATGGCCACCTCCCAGATCATTTCAGTTCGAAAACACGGAAATCAGGACAAAGACTCCATGTAACCAAGCACAAGGAGATGCTACTGGAAGTTACTGTCCTTGCACAGCTCCTTCAGAAATTTAAAAAATTTTGAAAACATATACAGGGTTTCTTTTTAAGATTTTTATTTTTTGATTTGAGAGAGAGAGCAAATATTGATTCGTTGTTCCACTCACTGAAGCGTTCACCAGTTGATTCTTGTATGTGCCGTGACCGGGGACCAAATCTGCAAACTTGGCCCATCAGGATGCTCTAACCAACCGAGCTCCCTGCCCAGGGCCAGGAATGGAAATTTTGGAAGCAGGAAAACTACGCCATCCAAAGATTCCAGCAGTGAGAATGAGTCCTACCATTCCTTGCAAAGACAAATATCACCACAAAGCTGCAAGAAGAGACTAAGTAAGGACTCTGGCCACGCCCGTGAAGGTTGGTGACACCTTCCCGGACATCCAGTCGCACTGACCCCATGTCCACAGCTGCGCTGGGTTGCGCCAGCCAGCGTGGCTCCAAAGGCCTGGGTCCTGCCAGATCCGCCTCATTCATGTTGCCGCCATCTGCCGCTACTCATGCGTGTAACCCCGCTAGTGTTTTGTGCCAGCTGTGGTCAAAATTGATTCCTAATTCCTCGAGCGAAGGAGGCTCACCCTCAGAGTTGTTTCCATAGACTGGCTGAGGCGTAGCAGAGTATAAATGCCCCGGCTGGTAGGAAATCTGCCCCGTGTGTGTGGCGTTGGTGGCTGTGGCTGCGTCACATTGGCAGGGACGAAGGGACATGCTGCATGAGGTCATAGCCAGCATGCAGTTTGCTGTGGGGTCCTCCACTCCCTCCGTCATCACAGGAGCGCTGTGATTGGTCATCAGCGCTGTCCCTTGTCTGGTAGAAATCCCTGTTTAAGTTATCTAAGCCTGACACTGCAGATGACAGATGCGGACAAAGAACCCCTGGACTCAGCTTAAGAAAGAACTGCTAGTCTTTTTCTTCTTTAAAAATAAATGGTGGTGAGTTTGAAATGAAAATGGTATTTAGATTCCATTGGCTTTGTTTTCCTTGTGTGTTTATAATGGCTGGAAATGACATCCTTTTCAGCTACTAAACACGTACCGAAACGTTTTAGCAGCTTGATGTGTGGTCTGCAGTGGGGAATGTTGGGGGGAGGGGAGCATGCTTGCAGGCCACTGGGAGCCGCCAGTTTTGTAAGAGGACCCCACGAGAGGCCGCCAGCCGAGGCCTGAAGAGTAGGACTCCGTTCCAAGTCTCCATCTCGGGACAGTCTTGGAGACCTTGCCCCAGAGACTTCCTGTCTCAGTTCAGCTCATTTGCAAAACTGGGCGTCTGCTACCTTGCTCGGTTGCTGCAAACAGTAGAGAGAATCCGTGCAAAGCCTCTGGTGCAGGAGGGGTGTGCTTGCTGCGTGTTAGCAAAGGAGAACCTCTGTAAAGCAACGGGACGTGATACGGCTGGGTCTTCAAACTTCCTTGCCTCCCACCCCTCTTCCGGGTGGGCACTGTGGACCGGTCCTCCCACACTCGGGGCCTGCGCCCCGCCCACCTTCCCTGGCGCAGCTCCGCCTGGCTGTCTGGAGACTGGGCGCCCCGGGAACCCTGGTCCACCAGAACGCGCCTGTTGCCCCGTGGAGCAGGTATGCAGCGGGCGGGCCGCACCTGTCCCTACCCGAGCTGCCCCCCTCCCCCTGCCGCCCCCCCACCGTGCCTTGGGAGCCCCAGGGACAGGGATGGAGCCCACACTCTGCAGAGGAGCGGTCTTCTGTGCGTCGGTCTCCATGGCAACGCGCCGCGCTCAATTCCCGGGCCCCAAAGAGAGCTCCGACACCTTCCGGAGTGTTCCTAAAGGAGGAAGATTTTCCCCAGACCTGGGGTTTTCACGCCCTGGCACCACCTGGGCGGCAGCGGGAAGTCCGCCAGTTCCCGAGCTGCCGCCCCTGAGTTTTCATTCCCTACCTGCCTGCCTCAGAACTCGGGGGTCGGCAGCCTCGTGGGGTGCCCATCTGGTGCCCGGGTCCACCCCACCCACTCGTCCCCCCTTCCTGCCCCGACACAAAGTCCTCAAAAACATACCCTGCCTGCTCGGTCAGTTTATAAAAGCCGGCGTTATACCCGAACGGTAGTATAAGGGGACAGTTAAGGAAACAGTTTATAATGAAGTCGCGTTTCCGTCTGCAAATGTTTGGTGCTGCAGCAAGCACCGCTGCTGGAGCGGGTGATGGTCTCAGCGACCAGGGGCAGCGTGGCCAGTGGATGCGGGACCTCCCCCAAAACGGTGCCCAGTTCTCGGTAAAGTTCGGAACAAAACAAAGCGCAAAGCGCGGGCCAGGCGGCTCAGCCTCCCGATACGCCAAGGTTCCGGGCCCCATTCCCCGTCAGGGCGCTTACGGGAATCAACCAATGAGTGCATGAGTAGGCGAACTAAACCCTTTCTCTCTCTCTCCTTAAAGTCAATAAGTAAAAAAAAAAAAAAAATTAAAAATTTAAGTGTAATCAAGCCTCGATTTACGTGTAGTTGCATCCCTCTAAAATTCTTAATTACAGCTATGTTAAAAAAATACCTTTTCTTTAGATGTAAAATAGAGTTGGGCTCTAGCTGCAGATAGACAGATTTTTTTCCACGGACAGGAACGTGTGGAAGGCTTCCTCATGTTGTAGGACCGCGGGATAACCCTTTATGATGCGGACCATCCCCCTGGCATCGCGGAATCTTAGTCTCCCGTGTCCCCCACCCTCTTTCTTCTAAATGCCACAGCGTCTCTCCATCTCTGCAAAGAGCGGGGAGTGGGGGGTGGGGAGGGGAAAGCCCTCCAAAATTACCAAATGTCCCCTAGGGGGCAGTACTTCCCCACCGAGAAAGGTTGGGCTGTAAAACTGCACTGGGCAGAAAGACATTCCTGCTTTATGGAGGTGGCAGTGCCAAAGATCACACCACGGTGTGCCAAAGCTCAGCTGCCACCCAGGTCTGATCTCCAGCCCACCGGGCAGCTCTGTCTCCCTTTGGTCGTCACCTGCGGCCACCGGGAGACTTATTTGACTATGTACTGGGTGAGGTTGGAAAGAAAGTTTTAGCAAACTGGGTTCTTTCACATTTGAGTGATCAGTTTTCCGACTTTGTTAACGCTTGTGAAAAGCGTGCAAAAGCATTCCATTTCTCTCAATGTCAGGACCCCGCGTGTGCTGGAGGCCATGGATAAATACGACGTGATTAAAGTCGTCGGGGAAGGCGCCTTTGGGAAAGCGTACTTGGCCAGAGGGAGACTGGACAGCAAGCCCTGTGTCATCAAAGAGATCAACTGTGCACAGGTATGATTAAGAGGCGCAAATTCCTGTTCACACGCAGTGCTGTACTCAGCTGGCTTTTAATCCAGTACGAAAAAGGAAACACATTTTTTGTTGTAATGTTTTTATTGTTGTTCAATTGCAGTTGTTCTTGTTTTCCCCCCATTACTCTCCCCTGCCCTACCCACCCCCAACCTCCCACGATGTTTGTTGTTCTGTTTTTCAAAGTATTAATGCGTTGACTCTTGTTCACTCAACCTCCTAAATCCATTATCCAAATGGCAACCCGTGATCTTATTGGAGGGGGAAAAAAGATGAAAGAAGAAGAAGGAAAGAGTTTGTATCACCCCGGCTCCTATGATACTCGCTATGAGACACACTCCTGTCTGCAGCTGACTTTTCTGTGTTGCCCTGGGGTGATGCACTTTCTCTGTCTTATCTCTTTTATTATTATTATTATTGTTGTTGTTGTTGTTGTTGTTGTTGTTATTGCTTTATTCTTGTTGTTTACACTACCACAGATGTCCCATCCCCCCCTTGCCCATTTCTGTGTCCCCCTCCGCGCCCTTGGGTTATCCTATGTTCTTTGGCTAATCCCTTTACCTTTTTCATCCCTTCCCCCTCTCCCACCTCCCCACTCGCAGCTGCCAGTCTGTTCCGTGTTTCCGTGCCTCTGTTCTGTTTGCTCATCCATGTATTTTGTTCATTAGATTCCATGTATAAGTGAGATCATATGGTATTTGTCTTTCACCAACTGGCTTATTTCCCTTAGCATAATGTTTTCCAGACCCATCCATGCTGTCACGAAAGGTAAGATTTCCTGCTCTTTTGTGGCCAAGTAGTAGTAGTCCGTTGTGTAAATGTACCCCGGCTTTTTTATCCACTCGTCTACTGAGGGGTGCTTAGAACGTTCCCAGGTGGTGGCTATTGTAAATAACACTGCAATGAACATAGGGGTGCTTATGTTCTTTAGAATTGGCGTTTTAGGGTTCTTAGGATATATTCACAGAAGTAGGATGGCTGGGTCAGAAGGCAGTTCCATTTTAGTTTTTTGAGGTAACTCCACACTGCTTTTCGCAGTGGCTGCCCCAGCCTGCATTCCCACCAACAGTGCACAAGGGTTCCCCTTCTCCACGTCCTCGCCAGCACTTGTCGTTTGCTGATTTATTGATGACAGCCATTCGGACAGGTGTGAGGGGATATCTCCTTGTGGTTTTAATTCACATCTCTCTGATGATTAGTGACATTGAGCATTTTTTCATGTCTGTGGGCCATTTGTATGTCTTCTTTGGAAAAGTATCTCATCAGGTCCTTTGTCCATTTGTTAGTTGGATTATTTGTCTTCCTGGTGTTGAGTTATATAAGTTCTGTATATATTTTAGAAATTAATCCCTTACCAGATGTATCATTGGCAAATATGTTCTCCCGTACAGTGGCTTCTGTTTTCATTTTGTCGATGGTTTCTTTTGTTGTGCAGAAGCTTTTTAGTTTGATGTGGTCCCATTTGTTTATTTTTCCTTTGGGTTCCTTGCCCAAAAGGAAGATGTATTGGCAAAAACATTGCTGCAAGAGATGGCTGAGATTTTACTGCCTATGCTTTCTTCTAGGATTTTTACGGTTTTGCAGTTTACATTTAAGTCCCTTATCCATTTTGAACATATTCTTGTGTATGGTATAAGTTGGTGGTACAGTTCGTTCGTTCATTCGTTCGTTCCTTCCTTTCTTCCTTCCTTCCCTCCTCCCTTCCTTCCTTTTGTTTAACAGGTAGCCACTAGTCACATGTAGCTATGGGAACACTTGAAATATGGTTAATGTGACTGGGGAAAGGAATGTTTGCGGGTTCATTTTTTAATAACATTTATCATTACTTGGAGTTACTTTGCTCACTTCTTTCTTCACTTGCCTGTCTGTCTCCCTCAGCGTACCTGTAACAGAGTGAAATGCTAGCTCTGTCTGCATTCTAGCCTGTGCATCTCCCATGGCCTTCAGCTAACAGCTCCTTCTGTAGGTATTAGCTGGAGGGATCCTGCTGGAGGCTTGAGTTTTTGCAAAAACAGCCCCTGGTCAGAAGGTGCCGAGGGCCCTCACCCACCTCTCACCTTGCCCCTCCCCTCTTGCCTTGACATAAAAGAAGCCGGAAGTCTAGGTTCTCTTAAGGTGGATTTGTAGAAGCCCTAGGCAACCCCATCTTCTCAAGCCAAGCCTTCACAATCCATAAACTTACTCCAAACTATGACATTTTTAAATATTGGCTTTTTTCTTTTTGTAGCATCAGGCACAGGAAACTTGTACCTGTAACACTCAGAGCACCTGGCACATGATAGGTGCTCAAAAATATGTATTGAATGCATTGAATAAATGAAGGAAAATCATGTATTCTTCTTAGTCCAATCATTTTGTAGAATAATTAAGTACATTTCATTAAAAAGGAATCATTTTTGGTAAATTCCCCTCGGTCCGTGTTTATGTCACCCTCCTTAGCGATGTGTTCATCTCAAAATATATGGAGACAGCAGTGTCCATTGTGTGCGAGAATTAATTTCAAGTCAAGTCTTGCTGGTTGCCTCCTAGAGGATTTATGAGTGCGAGCAGCAGGAGAAAATTTGTCCATAATGTGTGCAAAATGGAGCACTCGAGTTGCCCAGTGCAAACAATGCCACTGAATCGTACACCTAAAAATGGTTAACATGTCATAAAATTTGCTATATTTATTTTATTACAATTTTTAAAATTGCAAAGGAGGAGGAGGAGGAGGGAGAGCAGGAGGAGTGAGGAGAAGAAGGAAGGACTACCCAAATTTACGTTAAAGCTCAAGGCACGGATGGTCGGCTCCCAACGGAACACTTTGTTTGCCAGTGTAGATCCCTTTTCATGGTCTGCGGCTGCTTCTGCCGAGGTCCTCCGGTCCCGGTGTCCTGCTGTGCTTCCTTCTGTGATATTCCTCCGCGCACTCTGTTTGGTGGGTGTGACGTCACTTCCTCGGACCTGTCTGTCTGCCCCCCCCCACCCCCCCCCGCTCTGTGTGTCCTTCACCAGCTCTCCTCTCTGTCTGGACTCTGTGTGACCACCGCACTTCAGTTTACCACTGAGCAGATCGCTCTGAACACTCTCCCCCGGCCCTGTTACCTTCCAGCGCCCCAGCCCTGCGTGTCCTCTGCCAGCGAGCTATCCAGGAGTGTCTCCCGTAGTAATCTATGGTAGCATAGCACGCAGCCTCAGAGTGGGTGGCTCAAACAATGAGCTTTTTATGCTTATGCAAATAATATAACTCATCATTTTAAAAACATAATATCTGATATATGCTCCACATTGAATTTCTGACAGTGCAGAAAAAATGACAGAGGGGAAAGCCCGCCACCCAGCAATACTCACAGTGTCTGTGCATCAAGAGTTCAGGGTGAGGCTCATCCAGGACCATCTTGGGAGGGATCACAGTCACACCCCAAACAAAGCAGAAACTCCTTACCTTTCTGAGCCGGCCCGCCTCCCCTGCCGTGTGCTGCGCCGTGTTAATGACACCAGCATCCTCCTGCCATCCAGGCTCAAGACCTGGGGTCATCTGTGAAATTTCCTGCTAAACACCGTTGACTCTGTCTCCTCCTTGACTTGCTTCCTTCCTTTGGCTCACGCCCTGGGTTCCTTTGGTGCTTCGGCAGCTTCCTCCAGGCTGCAGCTCTCCTGCAGTGCAGTTTTTGTGATGCTCCAGCTACGTCCCCGACCCGCCACCGGGGCAGAAACTATAAAGGAAAAGAGGCTCAGCTTGACTGCATAAAGATATGAAACCAGCCCTGGCTGGCGTAGACCAGTGGATTGAGCTCGGGCTGCGAACCAAAGTGTCGCAGGTTCGATTCCCAGCCAGGGTACATGCCTGGGTTGCAGGCCATAACCCCCAGCAACTGCACATTGATGTTTCTCTCTCTCTCTCTCTCTCTCTCTCTATCTCCCTCCCTTCCCTCTCTAAAAATAAATAAATAAAATCTTAAAAAAAAAGATATGAAACTTCTGTGAGACAAAAAAGAAATACCATGTATAAATTGAAAGAAAATTCACAAAATGTCAAAAATACTTGCAAGTATTGACCAAAGGGTGCTAGCTCTTTATAAATAAAAGAAAACCCATAACTGAAGAAATCATTATGCAAGAATTTCAAACCCATTCGTAAAGTAATTAATGTAAGTAAATCAGTCAATATCACTTTTTGTTTACACGATTGGGAGGACTAAAAAGAAAGTAAAAGTAGGGGGAAGCAGGTGGGGAGGTAAATTGGTACCATCTGGAGCGGAATTTATCCAGATGCGTCAAAGCCTTGGAAGGAACCATTCCCTGTCTGCATTACTGACCAGGAGTAGTATCCACACTGTGTTGTAGAGGTGAAAAAAATCAGGCCACACCACAATGTACGTGTGTGTGTGTGTGTGTGTGTGTACTGTGAACACACACACACACACACACACACACAACGTTAGCAGCGGTTATTGCTGAGTGGTGGGCTTTCCCCTCCACCGTCAGAAATTCTTTCTGCACTGTCAGAAATTCAATGTGGAGCATATATCAGGTATTATGTTTTTAAAATGGTGAGTTGTATTATTTGTATAAGCATAAAAAGCGATCTTCATGTTGAAAAAGAAAATGAAAAAAGAACCGCCCCCCAACACACACATCCTAGAATCCAGTGGTTCTACTTTTGAGAGTTTATCCCAGAGAAATACCCAGAAATGTATAGACAGTTAGAAAATACCCACAGACACAAAAAGAAAAAAAAGATGTACTATTTTTGCCTACATGGAATTTGGGATTATTAGTAACCTTTTGCCAGGGACTTTTATATTGTTTCACTCTTCCGATTAGTTGTTTTTTTTTTTTTTAAATCACCCAGTCCAACTTTCGTTTCTAAGCAGAAGCTGCACCATGAGAGAGGTCGAGCAGCTGCTGAAGGCCACACAGCTGGTGAGGCCCGCGGTCCAGACTCCGACACGTGAACTTACTCCAGGTCCTTTCCGTTGTGCCAGGAAGATTCGTGCTCGTCTGCTGCTTTTGCTCGTCTTTCTTTTCTTTTTAATTGCTGTTCTGTTACAGTTGTCCCAATTTCCCCCTTTTGCCCTCCTCCGCCCAGCACCCCCCCCCACTCCCACAGGCCATCCCCACACCGTTGTCCACGTCCGTGGGTCATCCATACCTGTTCTTTGACTGGTCCCTTCCCCTCCTGCCCACCCTTACCCCCCTTCCCCAGATTCGTTTTGACGCCCACTCTGACTTGTTCCAGATTCCATCCCTAACCTGCGCTTCACGTACCAGTCTGTTTTGTTCACATGCAAATCCTTCTGGCTTCTGCGCTTCTCCGTGGGGCGCCTCCTTCCGAGAAGGTGGGGGATGGCCTGCCCGCCTCCAGCCATCAAGGTCCCACTTGGTCAAGGCCGAGCTCAGAACACTGACCTCTCTTCCTCTGCAAACGCCAGAGATTTTTATGGGCACCACCGCTGTGGTACCGACTGCTCTCTGCCTCGGGGGGCTTTGGCCGTTCATCCTGTGTCCTCTCCCCTTCTTAACTTGTGTTTCCTGTGCAGGCGGAATCCGTGTCTGTCTGCCCTGATACTCCACATGGCACCGAATAATGCTTTGCCTCAGCAGGTGTTCAGCCAGCTCCTGCTGCATAAATGATGCAGCGGATAGCTGGTTTCGGCGCTGTCGTCAAGCTAGTGCGTCCTTAAGAAGCGGAAAGCCATTTTTTCCCCATGCAAAGCATCTCATAGGTTGTCAGATGAGAGTTGTTAGAATTATCTAAATATCACTTATGAAAAATCAATATACCACCCCAGGTGATTCTGTGAAATAAAATCACACATTGACAATAAGGCTTGCAGTCCAAGAATACCTCCCATCAGTAGCACAAGTAGCGCATTAAGATGAGAGAGGTATTGTTGAGACATCCAGACCCAAGTAACTTTGGCCAGACTGACCGCAGTCTTTCAGCAAGTGCGATGAATGTAGCACAGCCACCGACGACGCAGGTTTCGGAGCCGCCTCCCGGGCTCCCACCAGGCTCCGGTCTAGCGCCCGCGGCGAGGTGGCCTCGTGCCCGCCACCCCATTCACATGCAGGTGCACCGTACGTACATCACGCCCGAAACGATTTTCCTTCGTGATGACACTTGTTCCCAAATTTGTATTGGCCAAATGGGACTCCGGTGATGACAACGTTTAACAATTAAAGAAAATTCTTGGAAGTATATCCTCATGTGTTTACTTGCATTTTTACTCACCCCTTCCCATTTAAATTTTGTCATTATTTTTTGCCTCTTTTGTGTGTATTTGTGTGTATCCCTTAATTTACTCTTGTGATTATACCTGATGTTTCTACTTTTGTCTTTTAACCATTGTAGTAATGTCAGTGTTGGCCGATCCGCTGCTTTTATTGTGCGTTTGCCTTTGTCACTGGGGATTTTTTTTCTTTGTGATTTTTTTTAAATCACAGTTTCTTGTTTGTAAAGAAGACCCTTTAGCATTTATTGTAATACTGGCTTGGTGGTGAAGAACCCCGTCAGCTTTTTCTTGTCCAACTGAACTTTCAATACAGCAAAACTTCACCAGAAATATTTTTTTTAATGATTTTCCATGACAAACCACTGATTAGATCCAGGGCACTTGGCTAATTCTAGAAATTTCGTTTCCTGAGGTTGAGAGGTCGGTTTCAGAAGTGCTGTTCGAAGCCAATGAAACCCGGGAGAACTTCAGGTAGGAGCAGGCAGGAAGCATGTTGCTGAAGCAAGTCATCCTTACAGACTGTTCTGTCTCTTACTGTGATTTAGATGCCGGTCCGAGAAAAAGAAGCTTCCAGGAAAGAAGTCATCCTTCTGGCAAAGATGAAACATCCCAACATTGTATCCTTCTTCAGTTCATTTCAAGGTTGGACTTTCTAGCGTTCTTAAAACTATTTTAATAAAGTATTGGCATGCAGAATTCCATAAAAGGCGTGTTCCTGAGAACTGTGCGTAGTTTTTGTGAATGGGCTCATTTTCCCATTTATTTAAATCGCCATCTGAGAGGTAATCTTTTACTTCTGCCCTAGTGAACTTTTGCAGACAGCTTCCCTAAGCTTTTCTTTCCATCTCTCGTTCATTCTTACTCCCTCGGCTAGTTGATAATTGGTGTATGAGCTTTGCCGCAGTAACGGCACCCACATTTCTGCGGCTACAACAATATGCATCAGTTTCTCGTTCGTTCCATGTCGGCAGTGGGTGGTCTGGGGTCTTAAGTCTGGGGTCCAGGCTGAAGGGGCAGCCCAGACGTGGAGCACACTGTTCTTTTGGGCGAGGGAAAAGAGCAGGAAACTAACCAGTGCTCAGCACACCGCCAGCCTCCGCCGTGCCGGGGTGCGGCCTGGCCCTCCTTTTCCCTGTGGACTCCCATGCCTGTCGCAGAGCAGCTGTGCAGCCAACCTTGGTAATGGAGTAGGAGGGGGAGCAATGGTGGTGGGTTCTGCCCGCATGACGCCCCCAAGCCCGCAGCAACAGGTGGGGCTGTCTGGTCCTCTTACAGAGAGGCAGGTGATAGCCGTGCACCATGGCCAAGCCAATGGCAGAACCAGAGGGGAAAACTGTAAGGAAGCAATCCCTGCATCTGCACACCTAAACACGAGACCTATCCTGTCCCTACCCATCACCCTACTCCAAAGGTAGGCACGAAACAGAACAGGCGATCCAATAAACATGAGAAGAGATCATTCAGTCACCCAACAAACCTTTATCCAGTGCTTACTACATGCCAGGCATTGCTCTAGGTGTCAAGGGTAGAGCAGTGAGCCAAACAGGGGAACATGCCTGTCCTCATAAAGCCTGTGTCCTAGTGGGAAGAGACAGACGACAGACAGACACATCAGGTGCGTCAGGTGTTTACAGGCTATGGATGCCCAAGTTCACTGGGGGCGGGGTGGGTGGGGGGTGCAGTCCCAGCTCAGCCCTCAGCACAGAGGCGCCCAAAGGCACAGGCTGTAAGTGTTCAAGAGCAAGAGTGTCACCCAGGAATCTTCAAGCACCACCAGGGGCTGAAGATCAGTAAACCAAGAAACCTACACTGCATTTTGAGCCTTTCCACTGTGCTGGGCACTGTGTTTCTTATCAAAGCAAGCCACTGCTTTCAAAATGGTTCTCTGTGTGCAGCCACTGGGCACTCAGAGGGTTTCTGAGAACCTTCTGGGGTCTTCCTGGGAGCTGAGCAGACACAGACTGTGAAGGAATTCACAAAGAGGAGAAAGTGTAGAGAGTGCAGTTTTTATTCGCTCTCTGAGAAAGGAGAGGAGCATGGTGTGGGGAGACACACCAGCATCCAAAGGGTGGGGGCTTTGAGCTTTTGTTGGGTTAGGGTGGGATTACAAAGGGGTGGAGATTACCGTGGTGGTGCCGCCCCGGGCAGTTGGGGCGCAGGTAACTCACAGTTTGTTGGGATGTCACCGTCTGCCTGTGGGTGTCGGGAGCGGTTAGTTCTCCTGCTTTCCAGTCATCTGCAGTCCTGGGGACAGGAGCTCGGAAGAGTCACATGGCGGTCACGTTTACCAAGGTCCCAGGCCTGCTGGGCAAATGGTGCCACAATAACCAGTGGGGCTGGCCTTTTCCCTTCACCCAGGAACAGGGGATTCCCCCCCCCCCACCCCGCCCCACGTTGGGTCCAAAGCTTTTAGGGGCAGCCCCTCGCTCTAGTGCCTGCATTCCTCTTCGCTGAGTCCTACCACCACTGCCCTAAGACCGTCTTTGTTTTCCTCATTATTTCAGCTGCCACTGGGACTCCTCCCTCCGGCCACCTCCCCCTCATCCCAGGCAATCTCTGAGATCCCAGTTCAGGTGACAGCCCCCTTTCCTGGTCTGGCCTAGTGCTTTGTACCTGTATGTACTTGTCTGTGTACAACTGTTTATGTAAGCAATTACGAGCTGGAGTAATCTTTGTCTCCCTTTCAGAGGACACTTACTGGATTCTTTTGCCCACCACTTGAGCCTCAGCATCTAGCACATAGTAGGTGCTCACTACATGTTTGCGGAAGGAGTCCATGGACTGGACCCCCTTTAACAGATTGGAGTGTGTCTTTTTACCATGCAAAATGGATATTTGAAAACAGCATTTCCAAGCCCTGGCTGGCATAGCTCAGTGGATTGAGCGCAGGCTGCAAACCAAAGTGTCGCAGGTTCGATTCCCAGTCAGGGCACATGCCTGGGTTGCAGGCCATGACCCCCAGCAAGTGCACATTGATGTTTCTCTCTCTCTCGCTTCCTCCCTCCCTTCCCTCTCTAAAAATAAATAAATAAAATCTTAAAACAAAAAAAAAGAAAAAAACAGAAAACAGCATTTCCCTGGATAATACTCGTATAAAGTTAGAGGTCATTTTTACAGTGTCAGTAACCTCTGCCGCGTGTGCTTGTATTATAAGCTGAAATTGTCTTATAACGGCTCTTTTATTTTCTAAGTCAGAGAACCTCTGTGTGCAGAAAAACAAGAGCTATTGGGATGCCTCTGAGTTTGCCTGGGAGATGGTTGGGGCTGGAAACAGCAGCTGATCGGAGAGCCCCCGGCATTCTCCGAGCTCCTGCGCAAGCAGATAAGGCCTCCGCTGCCCTCGGAGAACACGCCCCCAAACAGATCCCTGGCTCTGGGTCATTACGTATTTGCCCGTGGAGAGGAGTCTGGAAGGCGTACAGCTTTGAAGCAACACGCAAAAAACAAGGAGGATGTGGGGAGATATCCCCAAGGCTGAATTAATTCCACCTAAATTCCTCCAGTAAATAGCTATCAAGCCCGTACCACGGGCCAGGCATGTCCTAGGTCGCGGGGATGTATCTCCGTGAACAAAAGAGGCAACAGTCCCTGCAGGGCTGTTTTCTGCCGCTGCACAATGACGACAGCCACACGTTTGGTGGCTGACGCCCGCTCCCACGGGCCACGGCCCACCTCCTCTGGGCAGGGAGTCCAGGCTTGGTGCGGCCGGAGCCCCTGCTCAGGGCCTCACGCAGTTGGCACCTGAGGCCCGGAGTTCTCTCCACGCTTGTTCAGGTGGTTGGCAGAGTTCGCTGACTTGCAGTTGGAGGGCTGAGGGGTCCGTGTTTTTGCCGGCTGTCGGCCACGGTGCGGTTCCGTGAGCCTGGAGGCCTGTTCTCCCTCCTTCCCCGTGGCCCTGTAGGAGGCCCTCTCCTGCCTGGAATCTCACACTTCCCGGGTCCCGGCCTCTACACCCAGATATAAATGGCTCCTGGGATTAAGTCAGCCCACCTGGATACTCTCCTTTGCTATTGACTCAAAATCAGCTCACTGGTAACTCTCATTGTATCAGCAAAAAACCCTTTGCTGACACAACATAATCCTGGGAGTGATACCCCAAAGTTACCTGTACAGGCCCTGTCCTCACGGGGAGGGGATGAGGTGAGGGGTGCACACGGGGGCCTTTTGCAACCTTCTAGCTCCGGCTGCAGAGTCTATGTTTTAGGGGGGAAGGAGGGGAGAGACAGGCCATGAGTGTACACACAACACACACAGTTTAGATCGTACGCTAGAAGGTGTGTTGTAAGTGCTGTGGGAAGACACAGGAGGGCGAGACAGGGGTGGAGGGGACAGTTTCAAACAGGGTGGTCGTCAGGGTGGGCCCTGTTGGGGAGGCGACATTTGAGCAGAGACTCGCGGAGTCCCTCCAAGGCTCACGGCGTCGCTGCAAAGGCACGAGGCAAGAGCGCGTCGAGAGCCCTCTGACTGGAACAGGGAATGTTGTCTTTCCCACGGGCCACCCTCCTTCATGCTTCCAGCTTCTTTTCTGTAGAGTGGAGTGAGAACTTACGGAGACTCTGCATGATCCTTTTAAAAAGCCTGCTGGGTGGTTTTCCCATCCCACGTGGAAGTCAGTGACTTTCTGGCTCTTCCCTTGTACCGACTCCTCCAAAGCATTCGGTGTAGTTTGGGTAGAAATAATCGCATCTTTCTTTTTCCATTCATGTTTCATCGGTTGTGTGATAATTACGATAACGCGCATAACTGGCGTGCACTGACCTGGGGGCGGGCACAGCGACCTCAGTGAGAATCCGTGGGAGCCGAGGGGCCGGGCACACGGCATCTGCCTCAGAACCCCCCCTGGTAACTGCTGGGGTGGGCGGAGGCTGCAGGGCGTGCCCCTCCCTCTAGCGAGCAGGCCCGGCAGAGGGCGGCTGGAAGAGTGGTTATTCTCAACAACCTGGTTGAATGTGTCATATTAGTAAAAGTTTGTACCCAAGTTCAGAACGGGTCCGTTTACCCTTCCAGGGGTGCTGGGGGAGACGCACAGCTGCTCTTCCGCTGTGGGCTTCTCGTGTCCTGCTGGAATGTACGCAAGATTTACAGAGCCGTCATAAGCTGGGAGCTAGCTCTAAACATCTGACCTGGCTTCACTCAGTTACATTGTTGCAACAATCCTAAGAGGAGTTTCTATGGTATTATATTCATTTCATAGATGAGGCATGAGGCACAGAGACATTAAAATAAGTTGCTTACAGTCACAGAGTTAAGAAATGTAGGTGGTGAAGCGAGATTAGAACCCACTCTATCCCGATTCTACAGGCAGAGAATTTAAATATGTGTGAGTATGAAATATATATGTATATACATATATACAGTACATTTTTCTATAATATTCTGCATCTTCTAGAACTTGAAAGACAAATGATTAGATTTTAAATATATATGTATGAAATATATATATGCATATATATACTACATTTTTTCTGTAATATTCTGCATCTTCTAGAACTTGAAAGACAAATGATTGTATTTTAAATACACATAAGCATTAAATATCTGTGTATATACATATATATGCTACATTTTTCTGTAATATTCTGCATCTTCTAGAACTTGAAAGACAAATGATTAGATTTTAAATATATATATATGAAATATATATGTATGTACATATATACAGTACATTTTTCTGTAATGTTCTCCATCTTCTCAAACTGGAAAGACAGACAAATGGTTAGTAAGCGCCTGCGATGCCTCCAGCACCGCAAGAACGGCACCTTGTCTTTCAGAGAGTGACAGGCTGTTCATCGTGATGGAGTACTGCGATGGAGGGGACCTCATGAAAAGGATCAGCAGACAGCAGGGAGTGCTGTTTAGTGAAGACCAGGTAAACAGACACTCCCGATCGGCCTTTTCATTTCCTGCAGGGTGATTCAGGTCATCACGCCGTGCGGCACGCACTGTGTTTAGGTGCAGCCTGGTTTCTGGTAAAGAATCCAAACCCCAAAACGGCGATCGGTACTCTTCGCGGATTTCGTCTGCAACGCGTTTGCACTTGAACGTCAGTGGAATCTCTTTTAGAGGGTGAAGTTTGCTTGAGGAGAGAGAATGTCTTACTTGTACACAGTCTCATGTAGGGTGCCCCTGAGATACATTTTCATGGCTTAAAAAAAAAATCTGAATGCGGATGTTCCCTGGCCATTTAAAATAGCTACAGGTGCGCTCTTCTTCCTCTGAGTATTTGGTGCCCTGCGTTAGAACACAGGGGAAGGATAGGAGTTCTTCTTAGTGGTGACTCTTTAGTTCCATTGGTTGCAAAGAGAAAGGAGCCAAAAGGTGGGGAATAATGGCCTCAAGTCCCATTTCCTCTTTGCACAAACACTTTTTTCCCCTGTACTCTGAGCTTCCTTCGGACACGTCGTGGAGGGAGACAGGTGTGTGTGCATGGAGAGGAATCGGAAGCAGGGCTCGTGGGGTTGGTGGGAAACGGTGCCTGCCTTGAGCAGTGCCCGGGAATGGCCCGGTGTCTTCAGGCTGCTTGTTTCTTTCTCATCTTCTAGCATTGAGAGCAGCGTGCCCATGTGACTTCCTCCTGGAGTTAACCTGGCACGTGTAGAATGTAGAAATGATTGAAGAGTCAATATCTCTACCCTCTGTTAACTCAATCTAGCATTTTTCCTATGCTCATTTCAATGGTATACGAAATGCCATATTTGTGGAAATGCTGTTTCCCATCCAGGTATGATTTTGCCATATTTTATTAAAAAATATTTTTCTCTATACAATTTTGAATTACATTTCCCTTTGCTGGGTGAGAACTAAAATTACAGCTGAACCGTAGTATCTGGGATATAGCTTTTTTTCCTGTTGTTTTCCTCTTTCTGTATACTTCGTCAGACAAAGAACAAATGAAATTTTTAGAATAGTTCAAATAAATCTCTGTAGGCATAGAACACATTTTACCAAAGAGAGTCATGTCCATCTAAGGTAAGTCATACCATAACTAAGAAAATGAAGCTTTAGCCCTGGCTGGTGTGGCTGAGTGGGTTGAACACCAACCTGGGAACCAAAGGGTCGCCAGTTCAATTCCCAGTCAGAGCACATGCCTGGGTTGTAGGCCAGGTCCCCAGTAGGAGGCGCATGAGAGGCAACCACATATTGATGTTTCTCTCCCTCTCTTTCTCCCTCCCTTCCTCCCTCTCTCTAAAAGTAAATAAATAAAATCTTTTTAAAAAGATTTTTTTAAAAGAAAAGAAAATTAAGCATTAAAAAATTAAAAGTAACTTTTTATGTTTTATACACATACAGGTATTTCACTAAAAATTTGATAACCTCCCATACTGCCCATTCCTTCTTTCTCTGCCCTGGCCTCTTCCTTCCACTGAAGGAAAATCATGGTTATCAGGAATCAGGGCTGCTTGTCCCCCGTCCTGATGCAGGCAGCCGCCTGGTATTAGGAGAGAAGGAAATGGCGGGTTGCCTCCCTCTCTCTCCTGCTTTCATTTGTCTCTGATGTTCGTGGAGTTCACTCTGACACCAACACATGCGGCTTGCTTGTAAACACGCCTGCATCTTGCTAGGTGATACACCGATGGGCTTCGTTCAGATAAACGCACAAACGTAGATATGCCGCTTCCTGCTTTTGGTACATTTATCGTTCAGTGACACCAGACGCTCACAGGTCCCGTCTTGTGTCCCCCGGGCAGATTCTGAGCTGGTTCGTGCAGATTTCTCTGGGGCTGAAGCACATTCACGACAGGAAGGTCCTACACCGGGACGTAAAGACGCAGGTAACAGCAGCTCGGAGAGAGGACAGGGGCAGGGCTGACCTTTCATTCTCTTGAGATCTCACGAGCAACCTGGCATTTTCTCCACGCACAGAACATCTTCCTCAGCAAGAATGGGACGGTCGCAAAGCTTGGGGACTTCGGTATAGCCAGAGTCCTGAACAAGTAAGTACTTCAGAAAATTATTATTTTTTATTTATAGCAACCAAATATATATATATATGTATTTAATTAGCATAAGCAGATAAAGATATTAAAAGCTTGCTTTCCAAATATTTTTTGATAACTGTTTATATAAACCCATTAAATCATTCAGATGAAAAATAAATCATGCAGACGGTACTTTATCTGAGATGAAAATTCCCACCATAAATCTTGGCACAATGGAATGGTTGTGGCAGTGTTTTATAGTATGATCTAAACTTATCAAATGAGGGTGGGCGGGGCAGGGGAGAGCAATGGGGGGAAATTGGGACAATTGTATTGAACAGCACTAAAAAAAACTTAAAAAGTATACTAATCAAATGAGGTGTGACTTTAATGTACCTAAAGCCATTGGGAATTTAGTGAGACAGCCAAGTTCACACATGCTGCGGAGAATATGTAGGTGCGACTGTTTTAGAAGACAGTTTGGTGGAACAGATTTTTAAATGTTGCATTTCTGGTATTTTGTTCTAAGGAGATAAAGTGAAATGTGGAATAATTTTTAAATGCCTAACCAGTGGGGAATTGTTAAATGTAATAGAGCTTGCCCTAGCCAGTACCTGAATGCCATATAGCCATTAACATTTATGACTTTGAAGACTTCTTAATGAAGTGAGGAAATATTTGTTACATCAGGTTAAAAAAAAAAGTGGAATTCTGAATTTTAAATACACTGTGATCCCAGTATTGTGAGAAATATGCATGGAAAAAGGTAGAGAGGACATATATCAGAATTTTAACAAAAAGACTCTGGATAATTATTTTTCTTCTGTGTTCTCTTTCATATTTTCCAAATTTAAATCATGAGAGTGCATTTCTCTGCACTCTCAATTGGAAAGAGGGGACTCTTCCGGCGTCTGGGAAATTTTTGTAACATGACAAGCGTTCCTCTGTGTGGGGGCTTTAGGCCCTAAAATTTTTTTAATGTGTAGATTTTGGGGAGCTGAATTATAAGTATAAAAACCAACTGTTTTTATCACTCTATTATAAATGCACAATCTGTTTTTTATTTATTTTAATATGTGCGTCAAATTTCGTTATCTATTTTTATACTTTTTCTTGTGTGTCCATATCTTAAGCCCTTTTTTACTTGTAATAAACCACATTGCTTTACTATTTAATGGAATTTACCAGTTCCATGGAACTTGCCCAGACTTGTGTTGGAACCCCTTACTACCTGTCTCCGGAGATCTGCCAGAATAAACCCTACAACAACAAAACGTGAGTGGCTGGCTCTGGGTTTGAAAGTCTCGGAAGAATCGGACGGACTCTCTCCTGCGGTGCTTTGGTGATTTCATTTTCTTCCCATGTGAAATGAATACCCTAGTAACTGTCTCTGCCCCTTTGGTCTTCCCAGAAGCTTTGGAACTTACTCAGAAAGAGGCAGATTCTCTTTGTTTAAAGATACCCGGGAGGGACAGGATAGTGTTGAGAACTGCAGGCACTGTGACATCCGTCTTCGTGTCTCATGTCCAGACTGTGGCGGAGGAACAGACTTCCCTCCACCCTCACAACCCTTCTGGCCGGTCTGATAACCAAGTAGACGTTGGGATGGATTAGCAAGAGGAAATAACCAAATGTATTGCATAGATCTATATGGGAACCCCACACATGAGAGTGTCAGAGACCCCACAGGCAGGAGAGGCTCAGAGACCCAAAGAGAACATGGGTACAGAAGCCATTCAGAGCCAGGGACGAGGTAAGCTGTCTGTGGGATAAGACAAGGGTGGGCCTTTAGTGAATGGGAGTTTGCAGGCCCTACAGAGGGGTTAAAAGAAGTTACCTCTGGTAATGGGTTGTTATGGGCTAGGCCCCTAATTTAAGTTCTCCTGGGTACTTCAAGGGAGGGGCAGAAGTTTCTCTTGAGCCTGTAGCTAAAGTTGCCTTTAGCTTAAAGTAATCTGTGTGCCACTGAGCCACATCTTGGGGTGGCTCATTCCGAACCCCCACAATACCTTCTAAGCACTGTTTACTTCGTTGCAGAAAAGTGTCGTGGGTGGGCACCATAGAAGGCCCTGTGGTCTGGTGACAGAGCAGTGGATGCAGAGCGTGGAATCCTAGTTTCATGTAGGGGTTCAGAATGAGTCACCCCAAGTTGTGCTTCTAGGGTGTGTGCATTATTTTTGAGCTAAAGGCAGCCAAGACCCTGTGGGCTCCATAGAAACTTCTGCTCCCCACAATTATGAAGAATTTAAATTAGGGGCCTTGCCCATAGTAAGTTACCAGAGATGACCTTTTTGACCTATCTGTAGTGCAAAGCAAACTTCTGATTGCTCAAAATCTGTGCCTTTCATCCTGCAGTTGGCGCAGCGGAACATTCCGCGCCCCCAGGCAAGATGGCAGCAGGAGCGAGCATCACGCTGCGAGTGGGCAAGGCTCGCAAAAATAACTGGTTAAGGGAAAAGCCCTCCTGCCCCCCTTCCAGTCCTTGGCTCGGGGTGGGACCAGGGGAAGGCAGGTGTGCGTGCTGGAGAGGTCAAATGGTGGCAGGGGGAGGTGCCGAGTCAGAAAACCATGTCTGTTGAGCCTGGGGAAAAGAAGGAATTGGTTGGAGGGCCAGATGCTCCCGGAGCACGGGGAGCTTTGGGCTGAGGAAAAGCACCTGGCTTGGCCCACACGGGTAACTCATATAAACCCAGGGGAAGGAAGAGCCACTCTCTTGTCCCACCCTGCTAAGTACTGGCCGATGCATTTGCAGGAACGTGCGGCCCCGGCAGCCACGTGGCCAATGGCGGCACCGACCACACAGGCAGACTCCGGGAGGGAGCCTGAGGCCGGAGAGCCGCCCGCTTAGCCGCCTTAGGCTGCAAAGGGCAGACGAAGATGGAGTAGGAATTCCAGGCACTGCCCTGGGTTTTGGTCTTGCCGGGAACGGCCGGGTTTGGCCTGTATTTTGTGGACGAGATGAGCCTGCCGTGCTCCCGATCGGTGCAGCATTTGAATAAAGACCTCTTTCCTTTCCCCTCGACCGCTGCCTCTGGAGTTTGCCTGTGGGGTGGCAACGGGCAGCCGAACCCCGACTTTGGTTTGGTAACCCCGTGGCGTCCCTCCCCTCTGAAACCCCGAGGCACCTCACCCCATCCCTAGCTCAGAATGCCTCATCTTCTCTTTCCGCCTCTGAGCCTCTCGTGTACGTGGGGTTCCCGTGCGTACACATGCAGTTAAATTTGGTTACTTTCTCTTGTTCATCTGCCTGATGTAGATTTTTTTAAAGTATTTTTTAAAGATTTTATTTATTAGAGAGAGACATCAGTGTGCGGTTGCTGGGGGCTGTGGCCTGCAACCCAGGCATGTGCCCTGACTGGGAATCGAACCTGCGATGCTTTGGTTCATAGCCCGAGCTCAATCCACTGAGCTATGCCAGCCAGGGCTCAACCTGCCTGATGTAGATCTAATTATTGAGACCAGCCGAAAGAACCTGGGGGGCACAGGAGAGTACCCTCCTTCCCCACCCTTGGGGCTCTGTCACCCGCCTGCTTGAGTCAGCTGACCTGTGACAGTGAGAGTGTTGGCTAGGTAATCACTGACGTGCCCTCCACCTTTAAAACCCAACTGATTTTAAGAGCCTAGTTCTCAGGAGTAACATTAATACACATAGTGATGAATGTTAGACGAAGATGAGGTCAGTTTTTACCTCCATGTGAGGGGAAGGCAAAAAATTTCACTTCTCAAAGCGTGGCTGCCATTTGAGCCCGCTGGACCGAGGAGCAGCAAGACCGAATTCCTTCTGCGAGTTAATTGTCCATTTGTTTAGGGAAACACCCAAGGGCTCTGTGGCCGTTCGACTTTGACAGATACGTAGAAAGCAAAGCCCAGTTAGTAGCGATTTACAGAAAGAAGAGCGAACATTTCTCTGCCTAGTAAGAGCAGAGGCACCTGGGTCACAGTGCCCTGGGGGTGCCAGGAGGGCTCTGCCTGCGGCTGAGCTGGGCTGCGGGCTGGGAGCCGAGGGCTGGGTAGAAGGGCCGGCTGTCCACAGCAGTTCAGTGCAGCTGCCGGCTGAGAGCCTGGGTTCGCAGCCCTGTTTGGTTTCCTTGGGCTATTTTTTAAGAATTTGGGTCGACATTCAAATATGTTGATCTGGTGCTTCTGAGAAGTATAAGGTTTTAGCAACGATCGGCTGCCCCCTGTAGACCAGGAACACCGTTCCCAGGCTCACCACGGCCGCCACCACACACCGGGAGGCACACAGCTCGCGAAAGTTCCCTTGCAGCCTGGGGTGGGGCCTTCCCTGGGGGGGGCCTTGCAGTCACGGGAACTCGCCCCGGGCTACCGAGGGTGCTCCGGGGCAGAGGAGGAGGAGCTTGGGCCTGAGGAAGAGCAGGTCAGCACAGAATTCTGGGTGGCGGAGGAAAGGGGTCAGTAAGTTTCTAGAAACTCGAGGAAAAGTCTAGAAACCAGTTAGAAGTGGTTTCTCACCTATTCTGCATGCAAACCTTTGGCCTCTCTCTCTCTCTGCTCCTCCGGCAAACACTGAGAGAAGAGTCGCCAAATAGTGGAGCCATTTACCTCGCTTGCCGGATCCTTCCTGTTTTGACTTTAACATCTTACTTTCTTGCCTTCTCATTGTGTATTTTTTTTTTTTGGTCTCTTAGATGAACGCTTTTTGGTCTAGGAGGTAACTCCTTATTAAACCAATCACATAGAAATACTCGGACCTGGGGAACCAGGGACAACTGTAATTGGACAACAATTAAAAAAAATTTTTTTAATAAAAAAATAAAAGATAAAGAAATACTAAGTACCAAAGAGCAACTCTCCGACCATATATTGTGAGCACATTTTCCAGGGTTTTTGAGTACCAAGTGCTACGTTCATCACTTCATGTGCTTTTGATTCTGTCGACGGCCTTGAGTGGCACGGGCCTTGCTCAGCCGACCAAAGTCTCCCTTTCGAAGCAGAACAAGTCCGTGTGCGAGCCCTGCCTGCCTCTGCCACGTGCTCAGAACGTCACACACGTTTTCTGTTGAGAGCACGTGATGCTGAAGTAAATACCGGGCCGTCGGACCGTGGCGAGTCTGAGTACCTTTTCTCCGTTGGGATTCTGACAAACGCCGAATTGTCTTTATTTCACCTCTTACGTTAGCAAGAATAAGGATTGATGATGTACCCGAAACCATTTCTAAAAATTAGTCAGCCCGTGTAAAACTGTAAAGATGCACTAATGTAAGGCACTGCAGGGAGAATAAGGCTTTTATTTAAAACTGTGGCCATTTTTTACCATGTAAACTCTTCTCTTCTCCAGGGACATTTGGTCTCTTGGCTGTGTTTTATATGAGCTGTGCACGCTCAAGCATCCCGTAAGTATGTCTGTCGTTGGATTCATGTTATATGATTGAAACTATATACATTAAATTCACTTCTGAGAGAAAGAGATTAACGTTTGGTTTTATTTGAGTGTTAAAGATTATGTGGACATGCCCCGGCCGGGTGACTCAGTTGAGTGGAGCCTTGTCCTGTACCCCAGAAGGCTGCGGGCTGGTCAGAGAACACACCTGGGTTTCGGATTCCATCCCTGGTCAGGGCGTGCATACAGGAGGCAACCAGTGGGTCTCTCTCTCTCTCTCTCCCCCTCCCCCCTTCCTGTCTCTCTAAAATCAATATGAGTAAACGTCCTCTAACATTTTTTTAACGATTTATTTATTTATTTTTAGAGGGGGAAGGGAGGGAGAAAGAGAGAGAGAGAGAGAAACATCAATGTACAGTTGCTGGGGGCCATGGCCTGCAACCCAGGCATGTGCCCTGGCTGGGAATCGAACCTGCGATATTTTGGTTCGCAGCCCATGCTCAATCCACTGAGCTACGCCAGCCAGGGGGTAAAAATTTTTTTTTAATTATGTGGACCAGCTATTAAGAAGAATGATAGATCTATATAGGCTGACATGGAAAGATGTCCAAGTTGTATTAGAACATTAGAATTCCGAGGTGGAGAATAGTATATGTAGCATGTTTCCATGGAAACTGAACTGTGGGGGATATATATCATCAGCAGAGGAAGGGCCTGGGGTGCATGGGGTGAAGGAAAGTAGGAACCAGCTTCCAAGGGCCTTGCCCAGCGGAGGCGCACAGGAGGCACCGATTCTTCCAGCCACGAGTTGTGACACCAGGTGTGAAATGACAGGTACCAGGGAAGCTCATTGGAGACCCAGCGCCCAGGTTTTGATTGCGGACTGGTCATGTAGGTACCCTCTGCCTGGCATGTACCCCCCTTCTAGACGCCTGGGGAGAAAGCAGGGTTTCCACCTAAACACACTATTTCCACGGACAGTGCAGGCAGAGGGAGGCACTCTGAGTAGGGCCTGGTGGGGGCTGTCCGGGAATCCAAGCTCCCAGATGCCGGCCAAGGGCCGATATCATAACCAGGCCTTTCTAAGGAGAGCAGTCTCAGGCCTGCCATCTAACTGTATTCTACCCTGCCCTCAGCGTGGTCTTCATCGTTATTATTGGCCAAGGTCACACGGCTGGTAAGGGTCTTACCAAAACCTGCATCTTTAGTGCCACTCTGTGCTGCTGTACGTGATGATCAACGTCAGTGGTCCAGTCTGAGAAATGTGTCTGCAGGGGGTTTTGTCGTTGTGTGACTATTGCACGGAGTGCGCTCACACAAACTGAGGCGGCTTAGGCTGCTCCGCACCTCGGCTCGATGGCGCAGCCGGTCGCTCCAACTGCCGTGAGTACTGCAGGCAGCTGTAACACAACGGTATCCGTGTACCTAAGCAGCTAAACATGAAAAAGGTACAATGGCAATAAGATATAGAAGATGAAGTGTGTGTACACCTGCGTGTGGGTGGGCAGGGGGTGGGCTCCCGGGCTCCCCTCCCCTTGAGCCCGCACCCCTTGCTCATCACCAGCTCCAGGCCCCAGCCACGGGCGAGCCCGGGGCAGGTGCACGGCGCATTCGCTGAGCTGCCTCATCATCTGTTTCCATCGCCCAGAGCTGGTGGTAAATTCAGCCTCGCAGTTGGGTCCGGCCTTTTCCCTCAACGCTGCAAACAGCTGTTTGCTTGTAACCCATTACAGTCTGATTGGGCCCCTGCTGTGCGTGTGGCCCGTGGCTGGCCGAGACACTCTTCTGTGTCACACGGCTGTACGTGTAAATAACAGGATTTCACACAACGGAAAGCGTTCTGGTTTATGAAGAATTTTTGTGGAAATGTTTACGTTATGTTCATTTAAAGAGCAAGCTGTAAAATTTTATATGATGATGTCCTCCGCTCTATAAAATAAACATTATTTTTTTAAAAGACATAGGAGGAAATATACCTCTGGATGGTGCAATTATACACATTTGCCCTGCCTATGTATACTTTCCTGTACCTTCCAGTTTTCTAGGATGTGTCAATATTATCTTGTTAAGAAAAATTAAAACAAAAGTATTGTTTTAAATACCACGGCATCTCCTCGAGTGACTGCCGACAGGGTCTACTCATGAAACGTGAGTTGGCGGAAACAGGTTGGGTGCAACCGCGGTGCTTGCAACCGAACGTCGAAACCTCGTCTGGTGTCTGGATGTTTACGTCACGTCCTGGTTTGGGATCATCCCTGATGTGGTCCTGCTGTGCCTGTGCTTTCAGTTTGCGGCTCACAACCTGCACCAGCTGGTGCTGAGGATCTGTCGGGCGCACGTTGCCCCCGTCTCGCCACGCTTTTCCCGTGACCTTCGGTCCCTGCTGTCACAGCTCTTCAAAGTGTCTCCCCGAGACCGGCCATCCATTAATTCCATTTTGAAAAGGCCCTTTTTGGAGAATCTCATTGCCAAATACTCGACTCCCGAGGTGAGTTCTGAGGTGGCTCTGCCTGCACGTTGGCCGAGGTTTCGGTGAGCCGGCCCTTGACGGGTGTGTTTGGTCCTAGGTCCTTCAGGAAGAGCTCAGTCACCCCCTCACGCACCAGGCAAGACCACCAGCATCTCGCTCTGCTGGGGAGATGGTGCAAGGTAAGCACGATCAGACGGTGCAGTCTAGTGCATTCATGACGTGTGTCTCACATACCGTGTTATATTAGAGGGCTGACAGCATTAGCAGGGCAACCTCACCAAGTACATCGAACGTGGACATTTGAAAAAATATGAGCAGTACACGCAGGAGAAATATCCTCTCGTCCAGTGGAGACCCAGCGGGCGTGCCCTCACACCTGGCTCACGGACCACCTGGGGGGGGAGGTCATCTCCTCTCTTTTCACTAGGGCAGGAACACTTCACGAAGCAGAGCACTTGCCAGTGAAGAGGTGTTTGAAGAGGTGGGATCCAAACTTAACTTCTGTGTAGGGAGGGCAGAGAGAGTGAGAGAGGGTTCACAGACAGACGTGGGGTGCTGAGATGAAGCTTACTGGTTTTTGAAATAGAGAGGGTGGACAGGCCATGAAGAATTCTCTTGGAAAGGCCCACTGGGGCTGAAGTTAGAGTCCTGCACCTCACTAGTCACAGTGGCAGAACCATAAGTATGTGGCCCCCCAAATAAAACAGGGGATGCTTTATGGGAGTGATAGGTAGAGAAAAATTTAGTGCCAGGGATCAGCTGATGACGTGATGAAGCTCTGTGTGTGTGTGTGTGTGTGTGTGTGTGTGTGAGAGAGAGAGAGAGAGAGAGAGAGATGAAAGAAGGGAAAATTACTAATTCAGTCGATGTTGTGACAGTAAGGGGCAGGACTGAGGGACAGGACTGAGTGACAAACACGTGTCTGAACTTAGGAGACGAGCAGCAGCAGAACGTCCCTCGGAGGAATCCGTGACAGGGCAACACTGTCCACGGTGGTAGAAAAACTAAAACTGAGACAGTTGTAAAGGGCGAATGAATGACTCAACCCCTTTGCCGTGCGTTCTTTGGTTTGGCACGGTTCTGTGTCGGTTTGGGTGGAGAATGTTAGGAAGGGGGCAGGGAGAGGGTGAGAGAGAGGGCAGTGGCCGCATCTTTAACTCAGGAAAGACAGAGAAACGAGAACCCACGTGAGGCTGACCCAGAAAATGTATCGGAAGACCTACACGTCCCTTCCGAACACCAAGGTCCTGTGAACGGCGGGGCCCGATGACCCAGGCTCTGACGGCTGCGTTCAGTTCCTCGTGCCGCTATCTGATGCGCAGTGTTTCTGTAAATGTTAACACTAACTTCTCATGTTTTAAAAAGTAGTATTACGTGTTACTAGAAATATGCACGGGGTCCCTGGAGAAATGGTTTTCTCCAGTCAAAGAAAATGCATCATAATTTTGCACCAGCGCTTTACTCCCTAGGAATAACTATCTCTGGGTGAAGTAAACGTACTGTGCTATGGGATGCCCCGTATGTTTACTCTCTCCCAAGCATCAGTGTTAACGATGCGAAAGTTTAAAACAATTGAAGTTGTTTTCTTTTACTTACATAAGGTTCTAAAATCCGGCAAGTGAGATCGCAGGGGCGGCGCCTCCCGAGAGCAGGAGTACCGGTGCCAGAGAGAAGGAAGGAGGCCATCGGCAGAAACGAACGGAGCCCACCAGCCGGAGCCCGGGAGCCCCTGTTTGTGAGTCGTACTGAAGCCTTTCTCTGGGTGTTCCGGAGATGGTACCTTCTACAGACCTCCTTACGCACGTTCACGTGCTGCGAGCTCGTTACTGTGGAATTCACTAGGTTTTTTTTAAGATTTTTTTATTATTTAATTATTTATTTATAGAGAGGGAAGGGAGGGAGATAGAGAGAGAGAGAGAGAAACATCAATGTGCGGTTGCTGGGGGTCATGGCCTGCAACCCAGGCATGTGCCCCGACTGGGAATTGAACCTGCGATGCTTTGGTTCGCAGCCCGCGCTCAATCCACTGAGCTACGCCAGCCAGGGTGGAATTCACTAGTTTTTTACTTAATAAAAAAGTCTTTCTGTTATGAGTATTTAGAGTGGTACTGCACTGGACAATTTCTAGTTGTTAGATTTTTTTTTTTAATGCTGTATTTTCTTACAAGTGTTCTATGTATCAGTTTTAGTTTTCTTTTCATAAGTCGAATTCTTTTCACTTCTTTACATAAATAGGTGTTCTGTATAAGATACGTGAGTGGCATAGCCTAGTGGCAGGAAATATTACACATTTCATACTCTTAAATCTGATGTGTTATATAGCATTAAGAATTTTTAATTATGTAATCACTGATTTTTTTTCCCTAGAGTTTGTTTATGTATAGTTATTTGAATATACCTCAGCAGAGTGTTGAATCTTTCAGTTCATGCTAGTGAAATGCTTCTGGTATATAAACAATAAAATGGCTGTTGTCTTTTAATTAAATAATTATATTTGTAAAGAAGGTTTGTGGACTCCCTGGTTGGCGTAGCTCAGTGGATTGAGCACGAGCTGTGAACCAAAGCATTGCAGGTTCGATTCCCAGTCAGGGCACATGCCTGGGTTGTAGGCCACGGCCCCCAGCAACTGCACATTGATGTTTCTCTCTCTCTCTTTTTCTCCCTCCCTTCCCTCTCTAAAAATAAATAAATGAAATCTTAAAAAAAAATTTAAAAAAGAAGGCTTATGGTATAATTAGAGGACCATTTGGAAGTCCATTTACTGTTTACTTGATATATAGACATTTAGAAATGTGTTGGTATATAAAAAGATTTTTGAAGCTATTAATTAAAATTATTGCTCTTCATTTTGGTAGAATGTAGCTTAACTTTATTAAAGAAGTTGTAAAAGCTTGTACAATATATTGTATTATGTGTTTAGCACCCTAAGTTAAGTCTCCTTTGACCACCGTTTAACCCCCTTCATGCTCCCCTCCCCTCCCTCCTCCCACACCCCTTTCCCTCTGGTAGTCACCGCTGTTGTCTGTCCTTGAGTTTGCCCCTATGTCTTGCTTAATCCCTTCCACTCTTTCCCCCAAGCCCCCAAACCTCCTCCCCTCTGAGAGCCATCAGTCTGTTCTCTGAATCTGAGTCTGTTTCTGTTTGTTACTTTATGTTGCTCACTAGATTTGCTGTGCAAAACCTTTTTAGTTGGAAGTAGTCCTGTTTTTTCTTTTTCTTTTCGTTTCCCTTTCCCAAGGAGATATTTAAAAGAAATATATTGCTACGAGAAATGTGCTAGACTTTACTGCGTATGTTTTCTTCTAGGATTTTTGTGGTTTCATGACTAACATTTAAGCCTTTAATCCATTTTGAGTTTATTCTTGTGCACAGTGTAAGAAAGTGGCCTAGTTTCATTTTTTTGGCACATAACTCTGCAATTTTCCAACACTGTTTATTGAATAAACTACTTTTACCCCCTTGTATGTTTTTGCCTCCTTTGTCAAATACTAATTGACCATAAACAGGTGGATTTATTTCTGGGCTCTTCCATTCTGTTCCATTGATCTGCGTGTATCTTTTTATGCCAGTGCCATGCTCTTTTGATAATGATGGCCTTGTAGTATAGTTTGATATCAGGTAGTATGATTCCTCCAACTTTGTTCTTTTTTCTCAAGGTTGCTGTGGCTATTCGGGGTCTTTTGTAGTTCCGTATACATTTTTGGATATTTGTTTTAGTTCTGTGAGATGCCCCATTGGTATCCTGATAGGGAGTGTGTTGACTCAATAGATTGCTTTGGGCAGTATGCACATGTTAATGGTTTTCTTCCTGTCTGAGAACACGGTGACACGGCCTGTACTTCCACTTGTTTGTATCTTGAAACTATTCAGTTTCTTTCTTCCGTGTCTTATAATTTTTCAGGTATAGGTCTCTTACCTCTTTGGTTAAATGTATTCCTAGGAACTTTTTTTTTTTTGCTGCAATACTAAATAAGATTGGTTTCTTACTTTTCTTGCTAATAGTTCTTTATTGGTTTATAGGAATGCAACTGATTTGTGGATATTTATTTTAACCCTGCTACTGTCAATTACTATAGATTTGTATTTTTTTTAAAAAAACCTTCCTTCTTATGAATGCTTTAGATAAAAATGGTGGAAAGGCCCCAGCCTGCTGAAGCGTGTGGCCATTACGGTTATTACTATGCTCAACTTGACTTGTTAAGGAAGAGGAGAGACCGCAAACCGAGTCCCCACCGTGTGCCGCAGAGAAAGACCGGAGTGAAGGGAAACTGTCACCAGGAAGAAAGGCACCGTCCATCCCCAGGTCAATGGTACTGTCATTGTCTAATTTAAATTTGTCCTCCCAAAACATCGTGAAATAGCAACATTCTTGACTGCCATCTTTCCAAATTCTCCTGAGATGAATAATCTGAGAACTTCCAAACTCTTCCTTGCAAATACTTAATTCACAGTTCCCATGACCCGTTTTATTTTTTTACTTTTTATTAAATTTTTTGTTGCAGTTGACGTACAATATTTTATTAGTTTCAGGTGTACAACACAGTGATTAGACATTTATATACCTTACAAACTGACTACCGCAGTAATTTCTTGACCCTTTTTCATCTCAGGTTTGATGTAGCTTCTTCTTTTTCTTTTTTTAAAATAACATTGCCAAATACTTTTATTTTAAAGATTTTATTTATTTATTTTTAGAGAGGGAAGGGAGGGAGAAAGAGAGAGAGAGAAACATCAATGTGCAGTTGCTGGGGGCCATGGCCTGCAACCCAGGCATGTGCCCTGACTGGGAATCGAACCTGCGATGCTTTGGTTCACAGCCCACGCTCAATCCACTGAGCTACGCCAGCCAGGGTTGATGTAGCTTCTTATTCATGCAGCCACTTAACTATCAGCACAGATGCATGCTCTTGAACTTTTAATATTTGTCTTCCTTCCATAGTTGTATATGTTTCATGTTACTAGAGGTTATTAGTATTCATCACTAACAATTGAAGTATAATTAAATTATCATTTGAGACATATTGGAAAGGGAAATGTATTTCATTCAGCATTTATATTCTTAGGGCTTTCCAGAAGATGGATGTATTAAAAAGAAAATAACAGAAGTAAACTGCTCTTGTGACAGACTTTCACAAAATTTACTCCATAACAAATGTTTACGTATCTACACTCTTTTCCATTGTTTATTTCACACCAAGATCAGTGTTCTTGTGTTCAGAGTAATGGCCACCTATCCACAATCCTGAAGACCCACTTCTGAGAGTCATTTTTTAAAAAGATTTTTTAAATTTATTTTAGAGAGAGGAGAAGGGAGGGAGAAAGAGAGGGAGAGAAACATCAGTGTGTGGTTGCCTCTCACACACCCTCTACTGGAGACCTGGCCCGCAACCCAGGCCTGTGCCCTGAGTGGGAATTGAACCAGCAACTCTTTGGGCCGCAGGCCAGCACTCAGTCCACTGAGCCACACCAGCCAGGGCTCATTTTTTAAAAATGTTTTACCATCCTGAACCAACCTCTTCTACCCTCATGCTCATGTCAGCCCCTGCTGGATAGTGGTGCTCCCGTTTTACTCACGGGGACGAAAGCCCAGAGCCCGTCACTAGCCTGTCATTTGGTCACCTTCCTAAACCACTGCGTTATCCTCTTGACTCTTCATAAACAGGAACAGCTCACCACATGTTCCTGAAGGAGTCACCTCTGGAGTGACACTCCTGTCTTTGGAGCCCTGGAATTTACTGGTGTTCCAGAGAACTTGATCATACAGCTCATACTATAATCTGAAATGGGGTCATTTTTATTTAATAAGCAGGGGTAACAGAAATTCTTAGCAAAAAATTTTGCAAAAATTTTGCATATGTATATATGACACAGGCATAAAGCCGAAAATGGTTTGGCCGGAATTGTGCTGGACAAACCCCTTAAGCAGAGTGAGAGACAGCCCATTTTCATTCACTAGGCATTTGCACGAGCAGCAGAGGGAAAGGGACAGGACACTACCTGGCCTCGTGGAGCTCCGAGTGTCCTGCGGGACCCAGTTCAGCGGCCAGCCATCAGACCAGGGCTGACAGGCTCTGGGTTAGATCCCTGCCCCGGGGCATGAGGCGGTCCTGACGTTCTGGGCCGTGTGCATCCTTCCTGGGTCAGAATACTTTTGTTTCATTCTCGCCCAATATCCCCAGTTGCTCCTGTCCTCTTTACTTCCCTTTCTCCTGGGTTCCAAAGGCCTTCTTTCCCAATGTGTACATTCTGAAACTGTGAGCTCCTTCGTGAACGCAGAACGTCAACTTGCAGGTGAATTGTGAATCTCCTGATTAAGCAACAAAACCCAATTGTCAAATCAGTGATGACGACCAGTTAAAATTGCTGTACTCAAGCCGACCATTTCTCTCCCCTAAGGCCTGCTGAATTCCTTCAGAGGAGACTTGAAGCTCAGCAATATAAGCTGAAAGTAGAAAAGCAACTGGTGAGTAAAATACCAAATATGAGAGGTGACTGGGAATTTCCTCACCGTGTCTCTGTTCACAAATATTCACGGACCCTTACGTCCAAGTTCATTCCATAGAGAGGGTCAAAACTACCTTCCACCCTCCTCGGATTTAATGACTGAAAGAGAACAGTGGGAATAGGCTTGACCCAGGCCCGGGATCCCCGTTTCTCCCCTGGCTCCGCCTCCTGCTCTGTGACCTTGGTCAGGCAGGTCATGCAGCCGCAGTTTCCCGCTCTGTAAATGGTCGTTTGGGAGTTGTAGGTAAGCTTCAAGTTCCCCTTCCATACTGTAAGTCTTTGAGTCTATTTTAGTTAGAATGCTACGCATTTAAAAAAAATGACTATTGTTTTTTATTTGAGATGAAAAGTTGACCTTTTACTGTTAAGTGTAGCGTCAAAATGTGGGGGCCGAGGAAGGCTGCATCTGCACCCTATCGTATTGCCCTTACTCTGGGCGGCTGAGAAGCTCCCGTTCTAGTCCCCTGGCCTAATCTCATGCTCCGGGGGTTGCTGAACTGTCACTGAATTGTAACTTAACAATTATAATTTGCCAGTTCAGAAAACGAATCTAGGTGTCTCATATGGCAGCATAAAGTATTGATTGCTTCCGGTAAACACCACAAACGGTTTTATTAATTTTCTTTAATTTTTTAATGTTTTGTACTTCAGAAAATTCTAAAAACAAACAAACAAACAAACAAAAAGCTCCTAGGCACTGAATTTAGTTGATAATATCATTCTTGTTGAAAGGAAAAGGTCAAGGTCAGATCAGAAGACGTTTCTGAATGCAAGTATGTTTTGCAAGTTATTTCATTCAAATAACAGGGTCTGCGTCCATCGTCTGCTGAGCGAAACCACGACAGGAGACAAGAACCGAGAAGCCCTGGAGACGAACCCGGACTCCGGGGGCTGCCGTCCAGGAGACACAAAGCGAAGGAACAGGTGAAAACCAGGCCGGTTCCGGGCCACCCTTGTACTCTCTCAGTGCCTTCAGACCATAGTCGGGAGTTACTTTTAGTGTCTGCCGTGCACGCCTGGGAGGGCCCGTTGCACACGTACGTGCTGGGCACGCCTGCAGGAGGCACGGTGCTGGGGGTGCTAGGGGACGCAGGGGCATTCCTTCCCGCAGAAAGCAACGTAGCTGAGACCGTAGGTTTCTTGCATTGATGCAGTAAGTGCCGTCATGAGCAGTTCTGAAGTCCGTATCAGTGACCTTGGTCCGCCAGAAGTGCCCCCAGCGGGGTGGTTTCAAACCACGGGCATTGACCGTCTCACTGCGCTGGAGGCTAGAAGTCCCACACCAAGGTGTGGGCGGGCCCTGCTCTCTCAGGACCCCTTGGGGAGCCCCCCCTTGCCTCGTCCTAGCTTCTGGTGGTTTGGCAGCCAACTTTGGCAATCCTTGGCTTATAGCCACGCACCTCTCTCCTCTGCCATTGTCACATGGCGCTGTCCCTTGTGTCACTGTCTTCACGTGGCCATCTTCTTGAAAGGACACTGGTCACGCTGGAGTAGGGGCCCACCCTACTCCAGCGTGACCACATCTTCGCTTAGCTAATTATGCCTGCAATGGCGCTCCTCAAATAAGGCCCCAGCCTGAGGCTCCGGGCGTGAGGGCTCCGGCATGTCTTTTCTGGGGGGAGAAAATTCCGCCCGTAACAGGGCTGCATCTGAAAGTAGGACGTGTAAAGTAATCGTATGGCACGGACACTTCTGAGATTATATGTAAAAGCGACCTCACCCCCCCAAGCCACCGTATGACAGGGAGTGACGCGCCGCAGCCAAAGCACCAGGCGCGTCATCGTCTTTGGGAGCAACGGGTTTTCCAAGTCCGATCACGCACCACATGCTGAACAGTGGTCGCTGTGCAGACGTTACCGTGTTGAGCTGTTCACAGACTGAACACGCCGGGTTGGGATTGCCGTCCAGGAATACTGGATGCAGTTTGAGGACATACGCCAGCAGTACCACCACGACATGAAGGAAATCCGGAAGAAGCTGGGGAGCGGGCTGGAGGTGGGTACATCACTCCTTCTCCCACAGGGCACTTCTTACCACGGCCTGGGCGCTCACTGCGGTGAGCGGGCACTAGAAGCAATGACGATCTCAGAGGAAAGACAGCTCTTTATCATGCAAACTCTTTTTTTCAGTAGGAAAGCTGTGGGGTCCCCCTGAAGGGTTGCTCTGTGGGGCGCACTGGAGCCCACACACACACACACATACACACGGTAGGGGGGTGGGGGGGCTGACGTTCTCGGTGAGGAGGGAGATTGTGACAAATGCCTGTGGGTTGTGTTTCTCATGAATCAGTCAACAGCTTTGACTGCGTGGCCACACTGCATCAGGACGGGATCAGATGTATTAAGTAAGTTCACATCCATACGGTGGGGGAAAAAGACCGGCATTTTCTGAACTCCACTATTGGAATGGTGTCATATGCAGGGGTAAGGCTCTAAAATTCACCAAAGGCAACATCTGAGCGCAGCGGAGATGATTCTTGAAAATCCCTTCAGGGTATCACATAAAAAAACCGGATTCTTCCATCTGTGACATCACAGCTTTCTCAGTAGAACTCCCGGCAAAGTAGCTGGCCCGGGTTTGGAGACATATGACACGACACCCTCCGTGCCCCAGAATGCTCTTCCTGCGAGGGGCCCACGGGCACTGGGGCTGGACAGGACCCAGCTGGGCCCCCATGGCACCTGCACGTGAGCGGCCTGCTCGCGGAGTAAACCATCCACACTGCTGGCAATGCCCTGGCCCTCTCTCCCCGTCTCCCCCACCCCTGCACGCCTACGGATGCCTTAATGCAGGTGAAGTGGGCACGGGGTCCAGTGCAGTTGCAGGTCCCGGAGCGGCGCCTGCGTCATCTGCATCACCTGCGTCATCTGTGTCACTGCGTCATGGGGAGTGGTCCCCATACAGGGAGGTGACCCGTGCACACAGGGCAGACTAAATAAACGCCTGGTCCTAAAGCCTCTGCCTTTCCGGCACATGCTCCTCCACGCATAAACAGTTGGCAAGAGAAGACATACGTGTAGAAAGCAGTTTTGTTTGTATAAGACAGAATGTAGGCAGGCTCCGTAAGTGGTGTAAGGAGGAGCAGGTGAGCGGTTTTATTGAAGAAGAGAGGCGGAGCCTAAAGTGGGTTCCCAGAAGGAGCAGAGTTCGCAGAGGCACAGCCAAGGAGGAGGGCGTTCTGGCAGACCCACAGAGGCAGAGGTTCAGATGGACGGCCGCGTGTGCTGGGAGGGCTGGAGGCAGTCTGCTTCAGAGAAGAGGCTTGGTTAACAAGGGAGCGTGGTACCATCAGCAACCTTATTTTATTTTTTTTAAAGATTTTATTTATTTATTTTTAGAGAGGGGAAGGGAGGGAGAAAGAGAGAGAGAGAGAAACATCGATGTGTGGTTGCCTCTCACGTGGTCCCCACTGGGGACGTGGCCCGCAACCCAGGCATGTGCCCTGACTGGGAATCGAACCTGCGATGCTTTGGTTCGCAGCCCGCGCTCAATCCACTGAGCTACACCAGCCAGGGCTAGCACGCTTATTTTAAAAGTAGGCCTGTGATGGGAAACCGAGTGCAGGGGAGATGGAGAGCCCGCGTGTCTGGAGAGACCGGGAAGTAAGGGGAGGGGGGAGGGCCGAGGTGCCCTCACTCCCTTATCACCCATGCAGGGGTTGTGTGTTCAGGGAGGTCCAGGGACAAGGAGCCGGGAGGGGGGCTCCATCCGGCCACTGCCCGGGTTCGCCCCTGAGCAGCAGGCGGAAAGCCCTTCCCCTCTAGATCCCATCCCAACCCACCTCGGCCACGAGGGTCCCATTGTAAAGGCTCTCAGAACCCCCCGAGCTGACCGTGTGTCCTTTGTGTTAAAGGGAGACGCGAAGATGAGTCACAAAACCTACGTGGTGAAGAGGAGGGACCTGCCCATCCCCCAAGACGCACCTGAGGAAGATGCACCTGAGGAAGACGCACCTGCACAGGTGGTGGGTGTTGTTAGACACGTATGTGCTTCCCAGGGAGTTTTCCCCGCTCGGTGGTGCTGGCCCCTCAGAGCGCAGTGCGACCCTTTGGGAGACACAGAGAAACTCCAGCGCCTGGTCTGGGGGGGGTGGGGGGGGTGGGGGGGGGCCCAGCCTCGTGTCTTCGGAAGCTGGCTGGGCGCCTGGGCAGCCGAGTTTTGGGGCTGCTCTCGGGATCCTACGACAGTCCAGCCTCCTGGACGGTGTCTGAGGTGGTCTGAGACCCACTGCTCAGGAAATCTGATACGTAATTTCTCTTCTGTTTCATTGCATTTTTGGTCGGAGCGGGGGAACTGCTCTGAGCTGAATTATCAAAATGGTTCTTGAGAGGGTCCCTCCTGGAAGGTTGTTTTTTTTTTTAAAGATTTTATTTATTTTTTAGAGAGGGAAGGGAGGGAGAAAGAGAGAGAAACATCAATGCGCGGTTGCTGGGGGCCGTAGCCTGCAACCCAGGCTTGTGCCCTGACTGGGAATCGAACCTATGGTTCTTTGGTTTGCAGCCTGTGCTCAATCCACTGAGCTATACCAGCCAGGGCTTCCTGGAAGGTTTTTTGTCTCTACCTTCAAGGTGCCTTGGGCCTTGAGGAAGGGCAGGTGAGGGGAACCCGTGTTGGGAGAAGGCAGAAAGGCCTCCTTAACTGTTTTCCTTTGTGAGAGATGCTGGGACTCTCACAGGATGCCAGAGTGACCAACCGGAAGTGGCCTGAGGCTGCATCTGCCCCCAGGGAGGTGGGCGGGGCTCAGGGGTCTCAGGCAGTTAGTTGTGTTTTAAGGAAAATAAAGCCACACCCTCCTTCTCGTACACTTGAGACTACCAGACCACACAATCAGATCAGACAACCAGCTTCGAAATCTGGGTAAGATACGCAGTCCCAGGCCTGTTTCAGAGTTCGTGACGCTCTCGAGGCGGAAAAGTGACCTCCCCGAGGTCGCAGGGCAAACAACTGACAACGATCGAACGGACACACGCTGTATGGGGAGTGTGTACAGAGGCAGTCCCTCTCCGTCCTTTATACTGGAACGGGCTGCACACTTTTCTTTTTCGCCTGATGAAGTTCACCAGCCTCTTAAAGAAAGCACGCTGGGTCGAAATTACATCTCTGAATTGCACCAGGTTGTACCGGACTGGCCCGGAGAGGGAAGCATGGTCACATTGCAGGACTGTGCCCTTGGCAGTGCCAGCTTCCACTGAGATCATGGACACCGTCCCCAAGTTTCAGCGAATTGTTATTATTAGGGGCATGTTTTGACTGTGATGCCAGCCATCGGATTCAGCCCAGAAATGCAATACTGGAGCCGTACCGTGCCGTGATTGCAGGGAGTGTGAGAATACAATGGTTTGATCAGCAGGAAATGCTCTATTGTAATTTTTCTCTAAACTTGCAGGGCACTGAAAGAGACTTGAAACAAATTAGACGTCAGAACATGAAGAAAAGGGAACTTCCGGAACACAATTATAAAGCTAAGGTGGTAAACATTTTGTCTTTGGGTTTCATATGAAGAAGCTGGAGGGGTGGGCGGCCTGCAGGACTCACCCCCCCCACTGTTTTGTGGGATTGCTTTGGTGCGTAACGTGAGACTACGGGTTTTCAGTGTCTGTAATGTCAGACAGGGAGTTATAATGTTAAGGTTTTTATCGGATTGCCGAACTAAGATTTTTTTTCTTGCTTTCTTTTAGAGAGGGGTAAAGTTTGAAATTAATTTAGACGAATGTATTTCAGATGAAAATACTCTCAAAGAGGAAGAGGTATGTTATTAAGTATATATTTCCAGTAGCAGGCACAAGAAAATGAGTGTCTTAGTAGAATGTTTCATGAAATTTTTCCATAGGGAGTAAGGGGAATTTTCTTCAATCTTTCTAGAAGGATCTCTGATGTTCAAATAAGTCATCCAGAAGACTTTTTGTCCTCCCATTCCTTTTAAAATTATGGTTATTCTCTTATATGGATTACTCCAGTTTAATTTATTTTTCTTTTATAAAGTATCTATTTTCCTGTGATACTGACTTTTAATTGTAGCTAAATTAAAATAGAAGACATAATACATAGTCAACAGCTAATGTACTTACCTAAAAACATTAAGCAGGTACCCTGAGACCACATACACTTATCTGAGGTCTCTGTACTTGTGTTTGGATAAAACTCAGTTATGTATTTGGGCTCTCTTCGACAGAGCAATAAAAGCACAATTAAAGTCAAACCTCATTCTATTGCTTGAGTTTAACATCTTTTTAATCCCACTTTTTACTAGACCTACTAACAAATATCAAAATTAACTGATCTGTGTTTCCATTTCACCTTCTCTAAATTTGCCTCTCCTCCCTTTTAAGATTTCATTTATTTATTTTTAGAGAGAAGGGAAGGGAGGGAGAAAGAGAGGGAGAGAAACATCAGTGTGTGATTGCCTTTCGAGCGCCCCCTACTGGGGAGTCTGGCCCACAACCCAGGCATGTGCCCTGACTGGGAATGGAACCAGCGACCTTTTGGTTCATAAGCTGGTGCTCAATCCACTGAGCCATACCAGCCAGGGCAAAATTTGTCTTTTAAATGACCAAAAGTTACATATGTATATATATGTTTTATCTCATACCTGACAGCCAATTTCTTTCTTTCATTTCTTCATTAGTTTAAACCTTTGGAAGATTACCATTTCTTTCAGATTTGTGTGTGTGTGGTGAAGGGCCCGTTGTTTGTTTGTTTGTTTGTTTCATAGACTTTCCTGTTTTAGTGCAGTCACAGCCACGGGGAGTGGGAGCACAGAGATTCCCCGTGCACCCCGTCCCCACACACACACACACGGCCCCCCCCCATCAGCGCCCCCACCAGAGTGGAGCGGCCTTGACAGTCGAGCAACCTACACAGACACGCCATCATCACCAACGTCCGTAACTGACATTAGGGTCCCCGCTTGGCGTCCGATGTCCTGTGGGTGTGGACGAAGGCGTCATGGCGTGTTCGGCCACCATCACAGCATCATCCCGACTGGTTTCACTGCCCCAACAGCCCTGCGGGCTGCACCCGTCTCTTAGATCCCTGCTAGCGTTTCGCGGCGCGAGACTTCGTTAGGCTGCTGACGATGAGCGCAGCCCTCCCCTTCACCGTGTGGCCGCTCAGTGTCCAGAGCTGGGAGGGCCAGAGGGGCCAGAGACAGGGACTGGTTCTGGGCTGCCACCTGAGGGGGGACCCACCTTGGTGTGCCCATAAAGCGAGGTACCAACGCTGGCCTGCGAGGATCAACGAATAGAGTCCGAAAGGTTCTGTCCCCCTGGGCGTCTGTCCTCTATTACTCGGTGCTTGGACGGGCTTGGAACACGGGCCAATCGGGTGTGGACGGTGGAGTGTCAGGAGCAGTTGCAGGGACAGTGTGGGGAATGTGGTGTCTGTAAAACGGGGCACAGAGATGACAGCCGTGAGGGTTCTGTCAGAGGAACTGCAGTGACATCTCGCTGATGGTAGGAAGCGTGGGCCAAAGTCAGTTACCGTGTGATCGCTGCCGGTCGCTGCTGACGAGGGAAAGCGAGGAAAGCATTCCTGTTTCTGTCTTGTTCCAGCACAGTGCCACTCTCAAAACTCTACCGACTCATTCGCTTCATATGCAGGGTCCAGCAGAAGCAACACCTGCAAGAATGTGGTTGGTAGGGCGGTAATATGGGTGTCACAATTTATAGTTTGCATTTGAACATTTCACTTAAAATGTCCTATGGTGTGTTGAGTATGATGGTGTTATGTCACAGAATCGCCTGCTTATGGTTTTATAATACAAGACTTTGTCATAAAAAGCAGGGGCCTTATTTGTGCTGGACCTGTAGCTATGCTGAATACCTGCCCTGTGTCTTGATCAATGTTATTACCGGGAACACAGTGTTTTGTTTTGCTTTGTTTTCAAAACATGGCTTATTTCTCTTGCAACACTACGGAACTATTCAGGGCGTGGCGGTACTGAATGAAACGTTGACCTTTGAGGACAGCGTGAAGTTGAGGGAAAACAGCTGTACGAAGGAACGTGGGGATGACCCAGAGGAAGCGTCTGGAAAGCACGGCCGCTCAGACGCAGGTACGTGCACCTTGGGAGCTGGGGGCGGGAAGGACCTGTTCCACCAGCCGTCCATCTCCAGCTCTCCCCTGCGGCTCCTCCGCCGGCCCCTGACCCCCTTGCTCGCCCCGGCTGGCTGCGCCGCCTCCGCCCACCCCCACGGGCCCCACGCTCACTCCCTGCAGCTCAGCCCACCTTCCTCGCTCCATCCGTACCCTCTGTGGGCGGTTTCGCCTGCCCCTCAGCTCCAGGTCTCCCAACCAGCGGGGCCACGTGTGTCCATTTTTCTTGTTTTCTGCTGGGAATGTCCCCGGACGAGTCCCGCTAGCATCTCAAACTCAGCAGGGGTGCAACCGAACTTCGGAGCCCTTCCTCCTCAGTGATGCTCTCTCTACTTTGGGTGACACTGGCCCCAGGCAGACTGTGCCCGCTGCTCAGGGGGGTTTCCATGCTGTGACACCTCTGGAGTCTCCTTCCTCCGCCCCACTCCCTCTGTTGCTGGTTCAGGGCCCGTCATCTCTGCGCGGGGTGGGGGTAGAAAATGCAGGGGCTTTGGACACCCGTGGGAGCTGGAATCCCAGCTGACACCGCCACATTCTGCCTGTGTGGCCTCTCACGAGTCCCTTAAGCCCTTGCATTTCCCTGTCCTCCTAGGACCAGGGGGTGATGGATGACACCTGCCACAGGCTTCCTGCGAGGACTGAAGCGACACCTGGTGTACGAAGCACCTGGCACGTGCTACATGCTGGATGCACGCTAGTCCCTCTCTTCCCCTCGCTGACCATGTGTCCTTCTTGTCTCTAGCATTTCCCTTTCATTCTCTTAAGTGACTGCTCGTTATCTTATCCTATTATGCCCCTGCTGGAAAAAAACGTTTTCAGTTTCCATAATGCCTGGAGATACAGTCCGCTCCACGCAGTGTCGCGTTTGACGCCGAGTGGCCCGGTCCTGTGGCGACCACCTTTCCCACCCCAGCCACCCTCTTCCCTTCTCAGACGATGGGATCCATCCACAGCGTTGTGTGTGCGTGTGCACCTGGCTCAGTTCACCTTCCGCTGCCTCCGGAAAAATTTTTATTCAATTCGGCAGGCATCGTATTGATGATCTCTCTCGGGCCACAGGCCGTGCGAGATGGTAGGGACTCTCAAAGATGAGTGAGACCTCAGAGTCACAGAGGCGTCGCAAGCCAAAGGAAGGAGGTGCAACACATGTGTCCCGAGTCCAAAACATGAAAAAACTCACTGGGGTGCAAGCTGGCTGGAGACTCGGAAAGGTGCCGCTTTCATAAAGCTTGGGGCATGCCGCAGAGCCCGGGCTTCCCCTTTCGTGATGACCTTCAGTTCAAGGGCATTAGCCCCTGTTTGTTGGGGAGAAAGATCACGCTGGCCGCCGTGGGCAGGATGGCGTGGAGGGGCGGGCCTGAATGAAGGCCGGGGAGGAGTCCAGGAGGGAAGCGACAGGCACACAGGCCGGAGCAGGGCCGAGAGAACAGAAGTGGCGTGTGAACAGCCGGGTGGGGGCTTGAGGGTGGGGAGAGGGTCCAGGATCCTCCCAGTTTTCTAGTTCAGGTCAAGGAAGCCGTCACCAACCAAACAGGCATGCACAGAGACGTTGCCAGTTTGGTTCCTGACCGCCACCATCAATATTTCGGCAAAGCGAGTCACAAGAACTGTTTGGTTTCTCAGTGAACATAAAACTTATGTTTACACTGTACTGTAATTTTTAAGTGTGCAATAGCATTATTCCTGAAAAAAATGTACATACCTTAATTTGAAAATACTTTATGGCTAAAGAGTGCCAACCGTCCTCCAAGCCTTCAGCAAGTTGTGGTCTTTTTGCTGGTGGGGGGGTCTTGCACGATGTTAGAGCCGCTGACTGATCCCAGAGGTGGCTGCTGACGTTTGGGGTGGCCGTGGCAATTTCTTAAAAATAAGACAACAATGAAATTGGCCACATGGGTTGACTCTCCTTTCGCAAACGGTTCTCTGTAACATGCGATGCCGTTTGGTAGCGTTTTACCAGCGGTAGAACAAAATCAGAGTCCGCCCTCTCAGCCCCTGCCGCTGCTTCATCAGCTCAGGAGAAAAACGAGAGGTAAGCCTTTTTTTTCCCCCTAGGACAGGGGAGGACTAGCCCTTCAAATATATATATAGGGGGAAACAATCACAGAATAAATTAGTCATAGGTTCAACTGTACCAATGAACAGTTTTGGTGGAGCAAACAGTACTGGCTACTACAACTGTCACGTTTGATGGTTTATCCAGTGTCAATAATCATAAATGTCCACAGAAAAGTAGCTGCCAATGAGCTCGTTATAGTGTATAATAGTGAAAAAGTTTTAGCAACCTAAAAACCCAGCAAAAAAAATTAGTTATTACATGTGAGAGAAAACTGTGTTTGCTTTCAAATGGCTGTATAGAAGAATACTTAAATAACCTGGATAGGATGTGTTGCTAATGGAAAAAAGCAAGTTGTGAAAAGGTGTGTGGGAGGTGGCCCATTTTTTGTTTCAAAACAAAGCAAGAACTACAGGCAGGGGGGAAATTTGGAACTTTTTGACAGTGGGATTATGGGCAATTTACATTTTCTTCTATGTATTTGACTTTTAAATTTCCCATAATCTAATATTTGGATAAATAAGAAGATGTTTTAGAAATGGAGATAATGGACCAGATGCATTTGCATGGAAACTGACTCAAGTAAAAAAAGTTCTCAGAAATGCTTTAAGGAATGCCCCTTTGTTCACTAATATTTCTTTAACATTTAGATACATTGGCTAGTCACTCAACTGTTATTAATAAAAGTGAAGCCATTTTAAACCTGTTTATATAACTTCTGTCTTAGAAGTAGGACCGATGACTTAGTCCAGGCCGCCATAGCAGAACACTGTTAACCGGAGGGCTGGCGAAGCACGTTTATTTCCCAGTCCCGGGGGCGGAAGGCTGAGAGCGTGGGGCTGGTGGGCCTGAAGACTGGTGAGGGCCGGATTCCGTCTCTTTGCTGTGACTACACGTGCCATAAAAGCCGAGGGAGCTCTCTGGGGTCTCTTTCTGAAGGGTCCTTAAGGGCTGTGCGTAAGGGCTCCGCCCTCAAGACCCAGTGGCCTCCCACAGGCCCCTCCTCCCGACCCCTCACTCTGAGCATCAGGTTTCCGCTTACAGATCTGGGGCCAGGGGTGGAGACACAGACATTCAGCCCACATGCGAAAGGCAGGGGTGGCCTCTCCGTTTCTGGAGGGCCAGCTGATGGACTGCCTCCAGGTTTCCTAAGAGCTCTTCATTGCCGTTAGTCACACTTTGGCTGCTTTTTGACTCATGAGCTGTTTGCTTCTCCCCAGCGCCCTTCCTGCAGATGGCTGCTGCTGCTGCTGCTGCTGCTGCTGATGATGATGATGCTGCTGCTGCCATAGAAAGCAGGAGCCGGTGGGCTGCTGGAGCCCCTCAGACTCTGCTGCAGATGATGGCGGCAGCCGACCTCACCTCCCTCGGCGGCACCATGCCTGAGGGTGAGTGAATTTGCACCCGTCACCACACATCCCAAGGCCCCACGTGCCGCCAGGGCTCGCTCAGGACACCCCTATAGGTTTGGCATCAAACACCTTCCAGAGGTGTTGTTTTGGTCCCGCCCCTTCCTCTGGAGAACTTTTCCTGCTGAGCATCCTACATCACTGCCCACCTACCCGAGCTGCGAGCATGTGAAGGAGGGAAGGCCCAGCGTCTCTCCTTCCTCCCAGCGAGAGGGAACACGCCGGAAAGAGCGGTCCACCGGATCTGCCCTCAGATGCAGCCCAGTAACTTCGTTACCATTGCGTGGAGGGTTGGTTCTTTGAATCAATACAATCAGAATTAAAATAATAGCTATCCCACAAGAAGTAGAGAGGTAACAGCGCCAAGATAACATTTAAAATTGCTTGGCAAACCAGCGTGCTGTTTAGATGTTAGGAGCATGTCGTGTGTGATGAAAGTTTCAGTCTGAATTCCTTTGTTTGCCTGTGAGCTCCGGCGTGGTCTTCCCTAAGGAGAGGGTAAGAGCAACATCCAGGTGCCCCCTTCATGGCTGGTACAGATTTTTATTACTTATTTCCACATTCCTCTTGATGACATGGGGCCAGGGGAGACCTAAAATGTATGACTGTGTTATACATTGAAGCATGTGAGTGTATCACTGAAATTAGTAATTATAAATGTATGAACCGACACTACTACAAAATGCTGGATTCCTCAAAGTGGTAAGAAAGCCATGCAAATGTATCGTAGTACAACTTAATCCGTTCTAAGTCAAAGAGCCAATGAAAGAGGAAGCCTAATTCAGAGTCAGCAAATAGAACAGAAACGGTAACACACCCAAAGAGCCAGTTAACAGCGAAAGGAAACTCTCCGACCCACCAGCTGCGTGACAACAGGTCACTAAGCTTTCCTCTCTCCCCATTTTCTCACTAATGAAAGGGGCGGTGGGATGAGGTCACCTCCGAGATGCTAACACTCTGTGATTTTATGAAAACTCAAACGGAGAAGGGTTTTGATTTGCAACAACACCGTCTCCTCTTCAGACGGCCGAGCGCGGGTGAGCGACGGCGGTCCGGATGGTCGGAAGCAGTGGCGGCGCGAAGCTCCGGGAACTCTGCTGAGCGTCTGGGCGGCAGCCCAGCTAACGGGCAGCTCGTTTTCTGCCAGCGAAGGAGCATCTGGTATGTAGTTCATTGTCAAGGACATAACCCATCCCCCGGGGAAGTCTGATGCGCTGGAGGGGGCAGAGACGCCAGCCGGACGGTGACTGAGGCCGGGGAGTGCTTCCAGGTGACAGGGCGGCACAGAGCCGACGACAGAAGCGTTGTGCGAGGGTCACCTGACTATTAAGGGCGGGTGGGTCTGCCAGCTTGTGAAGCCCGAATCTTTGACAATCTCTGTGACACCTGCAGGAAAGCTGAGTCATATAAACAATGTTCAAGGTTTAACTAAGACAAAAAGGGCATTGCAGGGCGGGGGGCGGGGGGTGACGCCTTGTGGGCATACACAGGCCCGTGCTAGAGACGGGGAAGACATGGTGTAACACCGCAGTGTTAACTTAAAACCTAAAGGGGTAAATCTTGGTACTTTTTACCATAATAAACACACACACACACACAGGGCGTCAATGACTTAAGAAGTAATTCAAAATTCTTTGATTGTGTCACTAATTGTGTTACTGCGGTCTCTCTGAGTCAGGATGTATAAAGGTTTCACTAGTATGTAAAAAAATAAGTAATTCGGAGGAGTAAGACTCTGAACGTGAGGAATTTTAGTTACACCTTATCCAATGTGTTTCACTTATATTTTCCTTTTTATGAGTATGCAAAAGTGATCTAAGATGAAAAAAATATAGGCTCAGGAAGGACTAAAAGAGTGGCTATAATTTACATTTGTAAAAGGTACACTGTGCCCTGGCTAGCATAGCTCAGTGGATTGAGCACGGGCTGCGAACCAAAGCGTCACAGGTTCGATTCCCAGTCAGGGTACATGCCTGGGTTGCAGGCCACAGCCCCCAGCAACCGCACATTGATGTTTCTCTCTCTCTCTCTCTCTGTCTCCCTCCCTTCCCTCTCTAAAAATAAATAAATAAAATCTTAAAAAAACGGTAAACTGTAAGGGTAAGAAAACACTGTCATTCTATTGGGAACATTTTCTTTGCTGTTGGTGTGTGAAACAAAAGCACATCTTACAATGAGTGGACGCTCGGAGTTGTGGAGGGGAGGCTGCAGTGCCGTAAAGAAACAAAACGTCGTACCGTATCTTTAGTCTGGCCTTTTTTCCAAGGGCAAACACATCGCATTTTAAATAACAGCAATAAATCCACCCCCTGCCATCAAAAAAAGATAATGTTGTGTGTGCTTTGAGTTTTCCTCACAGACATTTAAAAAATTAAGACGAACAATGAGCTAGATACTCATTTTAAAGAAACAGTGAAGAATAGGGTGGTCCAATAAATGCCAATTCTTAAGTTTTTGCAACACGAGATTAAAATGCATGTAATTTTTTTGTACAAAGCATCTGCTCCCCAAGTGGGAGTGGGTATTTTGGGTCTTGGTCACCGGTCTTTATTTTGTTCCCTCCTTCTCAGCTCTCGTGTTGCCCGCCAGCTTCCGCACGAAGCTGAAAATAGTTGGGGTGTCAGGTGTCATCTGTCTGACTTGTTTTCAAACCAAGTTTCAGAGGCTTTGCCAGTGTGGTTGGAGTTCCCGCTAGGATTCCTGGCACCTAGCCCTCACCGGGGACAGAGGCCAGGATGCTTCAGGCTCTCTCTCCGTTCTTCAGCAGCAGGGACATCGGGACAACGGCGTCCTGAAGAAAATGCACAGAAGGTGGAAATGGCAGCCGGCCTTGAAGTAGACGGGGACCAGCTGGAACCGAGATCTGATGATGATGATGATGATGATGATGATGATGATGATGATGATGATACGTGAGTAGGTCACATCTAGATGCCTATGTGATGGGAGAGAGTTCACATGCTGTTCGAACGACAGCTGCGGAGACCCAGCTAAGGCGCTCAGGTGCTACCGCCTGTGTGCGGCTCTGTCTCTGGGCTCTCCGCTGGTTTCCATGGCGTTGACCTCTATCTCCACGTCAAGGTTCCGTTTTAATTCCCGTGGCCGCATCAGACCTTTTGCTATCTGGCAGGACCAGTCCCCCACCGTCTTCTAGTCCCCAATCTTTCTCTTTAAACTTCTCAGCCACTGTTGCCTTTTACTCAACACACACATCTTGGCGTTCTCTTGTAAAGTGTCCCGAAAAATCAGGTTGGCATTTTGACGACCATGTCATTGCATTTGGTCATTTATGGGAAATGACATCTTTGTGATTATACATCTTAACAGCCGTGAAGACAGCATAGCTCGCCATCTATTCTGTCTTTTTAAATCTTCTTTGGTATTTTGGTTGTTTTTTTCTTCATGGTATAGACTTAATTTTTGTTGTGGTGGTTGCCATTATGAATCAGTCATTTCCCTCCTCCTGTGTTTCCAGTTTGGCTCCTGCCAGTGTGGGGGACACTGTTGGTGTCGTGCCCCATGACCATACTGAATTCTCTCATCGTTTCTAAAATTTGGAGTCCTTTGAGTTTTTGCTATTTTATTATACTTTATATTTTTAAAGATTTTATTTATTTATTTTTAGAGAGGGAAGGGAGGGAGAAAGAGAGAGAAACATCAATGTGCGGTTGCTGGGGGCCGTGGCCTGCAACCCAGGCATGTGCCCTGACTGACTGGGAATCGAACCTGCGATGCTTTGGTTCACAGCCTGAGCTCAATCCACTGAACTACGCCAGCCATGGCTTTTATACTTTATTTTTTAAAGTAGGTGAAATATGCATGTGGTTCCAAATGCAGAAGGCAGACTCTTTCCGTCGCTTCATGCTGTCGCTACCTCAGCCGCACACCTGCTCATCCCAGAGCCCCCACTTGAGTCCCTGTGTGCACACGTCTCCTGAGGAATCCCATTAAGATGCAAGCAGCTAGTCCTACCTTGCAGAGGTGTGCATTCTTTTTCTTTGTTTACAGAAACAGTTTCATAGTGTACGTAACATTGCAAAACTTCCTTCTTTGCCCCAAGGAGTGAGTCTTGAATGCATATTATCATACACAAATAGTTGGGTCCATAGAGATAGCTGAAATTCCCAGAACAGCAAAGTATCAGGTCAAGAGTATGTGCTTTTGAGATTAGATGTTGTCAAACTGCCATTCACAGAGGCTGCACCCACCAGCGCTTCCCCTGACAGTGTTTGGAAGTGCCTGTTCCCCACCCATTTTCTTATTGTTACTGGACTTATGGCTCACAAATAATAGGCAAAAAAATGACATTTCAGCTTAGTTTTAATTAGCTTTCCTTTTAGGAATGAGGTTATCTTCCCATATGCTTAATACCCATCCTGAGTTCCTCCCGGGGGAGCCATTTATTATTACATAGCCTTAGCCACTTAAAAATTGTAGGCCATTAACATTGTATCGATTTGGGGAACTTTTGTATTTTAGAGAAATTAGTCTTTTATCTGTAATATGATTCAAAAATATGTTTCCCAATTTTTTGTTTGCTTTTTGATTTTATGTACAGTGGCTTATGAAAGTAGGAGTTTATTTTTATTCTTCGACGCCCCCACGATACAAGATGTGTACACCACACTGTGTACCTACCACTGAAAGTGAAGCCATCCTCCATTATGCCCCCCAACCCCTTTCCTCCGGAAACCACCGCACTGCTGTCTGTGTCCACAAGTTTCAGTTTTATAACGCACAGATGAGTAAAATCATATGGTTCTTAGTTTCTGACTTGTCTCACTCAGCGTACTATTCTCAAGGTCCATCCGTGTTGTCACAGACGGCAGCATTGTGTCGTTTCTTATGGCTGAGTAGCATCCCACTGTGTAGGTGCACCACAGCTTCTTTATCCAGGCCTCCATCGAGGGCACTTTGGTTGTCTCGGCCAACGTGCATAACGCCGCAGTGCACATAGGGGTGCATCATTGTTCACTGTGCAAAGGAACATGGAAAACGGGAAGATCTTGTGTGACCACACACCTCAGTAAAGATAGTTAACACACAAACAGAAGCTGTAATTCGTGGTCCATCCCACATTTGTGATCTCCAGTGTTAGTGGGGGCCTCTGAGCCCTACACATGCTCCCCCACCCCCACCCCTCTCGCTGTGATCATGTGACTGTGCCTCCAGCTTCACAGAGACAGGGTGGGGCTTGCGGGTGGAATCGTCTCAGTTGCCTGGTTGCATGACTTCTCTGTGTCCATGTGAGTCCTTGTCTCCTTCTCTCTCCCTGTCTCCCTTCTTAGAAGAAAAGCTGTCCCCGTTTCTGTCAGAAGCCCATCCTTGCACAGATGCTCAAATCCTAGCCTCTCTCTATGAACCTTCCCCTGTGTTCTCAATGTCTGTGGCCTCCTTTCTCTCGGCATATAAACATGCCCAAATCTCTCTCATCCTGAAAAACACCATAAAAAAAAAAGAAAGAAACACAACAAAAGCCAACAACCCAGCAACAACAACAAACCATGGCCCCCACCTCCTGGAAAGAGCACTGCTCTCAGAGCCAGCTCCCCCTCCTCCCAGGAGCTGAAGTTCACTGGTACCACTTCCTTACCTCTCACGCCTTCCTCCGGGCCTCCTGCCGCATAGCACTCTGCACTCTCACGCAAGGCCCTTTAGCATCCTGAAACCGCCAGGTCCGATCCTCGCCGTGCGGCCCTCACCCCGCTGGCGGCCCCCTCTTCCTGCACGTGTCCTGCTCCCTGGGATTCCCTGGGCCTCCGTGATGAACCTTCTTGGCTCTCACCCGCTCTTCCTCAGCCTTGTTCACGTGCGTCTTCCCCGAGTGGTCTTGCCGATGGCTTTCTCCGGCTCTAGCCTTCCTCCCTTCTCGAAGCATCCGTGTTGCAGCCGTGCACACAATTCCAACTCCTACCCCCACGAATCAGTAGCTGTAGACCTTGGGAACGTGCTTTCCTCTCTCTGAGCCCAGATTCCGTATCAATTGCTGGTGATAACGCCCGCCTCCAGTTTGGCTCGTGTGAGAGGAGACAGTTGGTGGCGGGCGCTCTGGGTCAGTGACTGGCAGGTGGTGAGGGCTCACTCGGCGGCATGTTTTCTTCTATGTCCTCTTCTCGCTTCTCTTTTTACACGTAAGAATAGTGGGTATTAATAAATACATTGTCATGAAGGTTGCTGAACGCAAGACCAGCTGAACAGAGGGCTGATTCTCCTAACGTTGGTTGTCTTCCCTAGAAAAACCACACTGGTATGATCAGTAATTTGTTACCTGGGTGAACAATGTAACTTTCAGTCCTGGCTGGCATAGCTCAGTGGATTGAGCGCGGGCTGCGAACCAAAGTGTCGCAGGTTCAATTCCCAGTCAGGGCACATACCTGGGTTGCAGGCCACGGCCCCCAGCAACTGCACATTGATGTTTCTCTCTCTCTCTCTTTCTCCCTCCCTTCCCTCTGTAAAAATAAATAAATAAAATCTTTTAAAAAATGTAACTTTCATATTGCTCAGGTGCGGGTGGGGCATGAGAAGGGAAACTCATTTTCCTATGTATTATTCTTCAGTGTTATGGTATGATGAGACTGATTTTTACTGAGTTTATTATTTCAGAAATTTTGAGGAATCCGAAGACGAGTTGAGAAATGCAGTAGTAGAATCCCTGGAGAAACTCAGCGCTTCCGAAGAGGAGGACAAAAAGGAGGCGGCTTCCAGCTTCTCTACGGACACTGCAAACTTGGGCCAGAGAGGCGGAGCGTGCAGGAATGCGCAGAGCTAAAGGGAGGTGTGGAGACCGTTCCTACTTTATCTAACAGGAAAATTTTTATTGTTGATGGAGACCAAGGAACATCAACCACCAGTCAAAATATGCAAGTGCGATTAGTGTGGTTTTTTTTTAAGCCATACATTAGTATCTTGCCAACATACGAAACATTAAAACCCATAGAGAATTTTTGTGAGTTTATTCGAGCCAAACTGACAACAGTTGCCGGGAAGCAGTATCTCAACAAACTGAGAAATGCCCTGGGGAATGAACGGCAGTTTAGCACCTTATTTTATACTTTACACTCAAAGCAGGAAGTGTAGAGGGCTTACAAGAAATCCATTGGTGGTGGATTAGGGAGGCGGGAGAAAGCCAAGGTGCATTGGGGGGAACCTCTGGGATTGGATAAAAAGTAAAATGATAGACACTTCCACACAGATGGGCACGGGGGAGTTAACAGTCAATAATGAACACGGTAACAGTATCAGTGAGATGTGTGGTCTCCCCCTGGCTCTGTGCCTGTGCTTGGGAGGGTCTGGAGAGGGGAAATCTGACATCCCAAAGGTATGTTATCGTAGATGCAACGACACAATCGACGGGCTCAGTTAAGGTAAAGATTGACCTCCGTTAGGGGAAACACACCAGCCTAGGAGGCGATTACCTGCCGTGGACCGCTTTTTGTTAGAAAGTTTGAGCTCAGACCATTTAGGTCTCGGAGTCTGTAAGGCGCCGTGCAGGCCTCCCCTGACTGGGCAGGTTCCGCGTGCGGCCCCTTTTCGCCCACAGACCTTTTTTGTCCGTACAGTGTCTGTTCGGGTACAGGTCCTAAGTTCTTGTTTATTCTAAGGCTTTTCCAGTAACCCAAAGGACTTCCTACTTTCCCTCTCTAAATGTAGACAATAGAACTAATTCTGGGCGTTGAAAGTATTGCTTTCACTTTAAAATTTAAGACACTCTTCAGGTAACGTGTGTCACGAAGAGCAGCGTGCCTCCCCCTCCAAACGTGAGCATGTGATGTCACACGCACAGGGGAACTCACGTTGCAGATGGAATTCAGCTGGCCTTCAAACAGGGGGCTCAGCTTGGATTGCCCAGGTGGGCCCAATGGAAGGGGGGGAAGGCAGGAGACAGGGAGTGGCCTGGTGCTGCTGGCTTTGGAGGCCGAGGAGAGGCCCGGGGCCTGCCAGAGAAAGCAGGCGCCTTCAATCAAAGGGACTTCTGTCATCTCCAAAGTACTTCACCTCCTCGCCATGTGGCACCAGGACTTGAAAAGGCAGCGAGCACGGGCACCGCCGTGTCCAGGCTGTGGGTGAGGCCCAGGAGGAGGAGGAGGGAACAGCTTTGCCGTCAGAAGATGGGAGGTTTGTGAAGACGAAGCCGAGGTCAGGCCGCGGCAGTCTAACTGCTCGTCCTGCGCCCTCTTCAAAACGCCCCCTGGTGGTCTTGGAATGCGCGAGGCTGCGCCCAGGGGCCGTGCACTTGGGTCTGCACATCCCGTCGTCTCGCCATCAGAAAAACAGCCACTGGTGATGCTCTCGCTCAGACTCCTGAAGGACGTCGTAAAGCTGACTCCCGGCCCCTGCAGGGCGGAAATGCCCAGGGGCAATGAGGGGCCCAGACCCCTGGGCCCGGCGCCTGGAACGAACACCAGTTCTGGGGAAGCTCCCGGCAGCACCTTGGGCTCCGGCTGCTGCCCTGCACACCCGCGGAGCAGTCGCAGTCGGCTCGCCTTTCGACTGAAACGCGATTGGGCCTGCCTAGAGAACCCTGTTCCTTGTAAGAAACTCACTGGATGCACTCAAAGAGGTCCTCTACAATACTGTTCAAAATGTGGATGGACCAGAATCTTCCGAAATGTTTCAGAAATGTCAGAACAGCTCTAAAGTACTAATCACTGATCGGTCCTCCATTTTTCTTTCAACATTTCCTTTTTCCTAAAAGGAAATTCTCTTTCCTGGTTACTAGGGAAGAGTGGTTGGACACGTGAGACCTGAAAAATATGGATTCTACCAAAATTAAGAGTATCTATTTTTATCCCTTTAAAATACATATTTTTCAGATTTTGAGACTAAGCACGGATCTAAAATTTTTACACTTAAACATACAAGGTTACCTTTTCCATTTAGGTAATTTTGCTTTTTGTCCTTGAAATAAATACCTTGCCTCTATGTCTCAAGGGCATTATGCCCAGGCCGACTTTATCACGAGATGGAATGAATTCAGAAATAAGCATTAACACATTATATGATGTATCTAGCTTGCACAGACGCGGCGTTACTTAAACAGCTTCTCCACGGACGCCAGGAACGCCACGTCGAACTCCTGGTCGGAGAACCTGCCCACGGAGGCGCGGGCGCTGCCCCGGATGCGGAGCCTCTCCTTCTCAGACATGGACAGGATGTGCGCCATGGTCTCGGCGTAGTCGTCCTCGCCTTCCGCCAGGAACCCCGTGACCGCCCCTCCGTGAGGGACGACGATGTCCAGCTTCGGGCCCCCCGAGTTGTGCGCGAGGATGATGGTGCCGGCCGCCATGCACTCCACGACGCCTGGGGAAGACACGAAACCACGCGGTCTGCTAAGTTTTGGACGTGTTCAAAAGAACAAGAATGGGCAGAGATCTCTAGAAATGTTAAGGGACTGATGAGAAATGTAATGAGCACGGTCTCTTCAACACTGGGGAAACCTCTGGGGAACGGACTTTTCTGCTGGTGTTGTATTTGAGTTCTTATTTGAAAACGAGGGATTACACCACAATGACCTGCTCAAGGCCGGACACCACTCCTGCATTCCTCAGGGACCTCAGTCCTTCGGTTTCACGGCCTCCCTCCAGGATTCTCCACCCCTCCCTCCCCTCTGGCCCCCTAAAGAGCGACGGTAACAAAACACAAGGGGCGTGCACTAACTCCCTCACTCTCCCCAGGTCCTGAGTCCTCCCCTGCTGCTGTCTCTTCTTCCCTCTCCCTTTCACTCGAACTTCTGAACAGCGTGGTCTGCGCAAACCCCACCGGCTCACCTGCGCTCAACCCACCCCAGTCCAACTCTTGCTCCCACGCCTCCACCAAACCGCCCTCGCCCAGGGCGCCGACCAGTGCCTCCTCCCTCTGGCCCAGCAACTCGGAGGCACGGGACCTTGCTGCCCTTCCTTCTCCGCAGACTCTCTCTTCCCTCGGCCTCCAGGGCACTGCACCGTGCCGGTGTTCCTCCCCTGTTTCTCCTCTGCCCCCCTGCCGGCCCCCCTCCTCTGCCCTCCTCTGAGTGGCTACCGTTCCCAGCAGTTCGCACCACGGCTGTGGGCCATCTTATCCACAGCCACGCGGGCTGCAGGACCTGCCTGGACGACAGCTGCTCCTCAGGGTGCGTTCCCAGATCAGGTCCCTCTCCCGTACTTCGGACTCATATAAACGAGTGCCCGCGGGAGGCACACCCGCACACGCCCCTCAGACCACGCACACTCTACACGCTCGGACCCTGGCGGCGCATCACCCGCCTCTCCCCAGGGCTCCCTCCCTAGTGGATGCACCGTTCACACAACCGTCCACGGTAACACCCGAGGCAGTTCCTTCTGACTGCTCTTCGCCCCTCACTTAAAGCAGCCCAGCAAGCAGCAATCCCGTTCAGTTCAGCCCTTGCTCAGCACTTTGTGGCGTGCTGCTCAGAGTGCCAGCGCCCACCACCCACCCTCCAGGCTGCTGCAGTGACACCCCCCCCACCCCCCCGCCGTCTTCCTGCCTTTCCAGCCTTGCCCTCCCTGCCCTCCTCACCCATCCATTCCCGGTACTGTAGCCACAGTGACGTTTAGGAAACAGAAAGCTTTTAAATCCAATACTCAAAATCTCTGCATCTTTTCCCACTGGATTAACATGGCCACGGGAGCTGGCTGCAGGTCACGTCTACACTGCCTCGGGGTTCCTCCATCGCCCTCCAGCCGCACTGAACTCTGGTCCTGGAACGTGCCTGCCAGTGCCCCCTTTCTGATGCCTGTCCCCATGGTGTGCCGGCCCTTTGCTGGCTGCCCTCCGCTCTTCTGCATGGCTAACCTCTCACTGCTGCTGAGGTCCCAGCCGAGTCACGCCATTTCCCGGGCCACGGCTGCCCGACCCCACGAGACCGTGCCAGGTGTTCCTGTGTGCGCTTCCACCTCACCCCGCACGGCACTCGGCCACGGCACAGCCAGGGGCTGTCTAATGCGTCTGTGCCGCTCACAGCCGGGGGCCCCTGACGCCACGGGCACTTCCCACTCGTCAGGCACTCCCGGCACCCAGCCAGTGCCCGCACGGTGGTGCTCCACACGCTCCGAGGAAGGACGCTCGGGAAATCAGCCTCCGCACAGAAAGTCTGCGCCTAGTTCTCGCCGCACGTCTGAGCGTGGGGCTGTGCTACTGACTAGGGATGGAAAAGGGTACGAGAGAAGTGGTAGCCTCAGCGTGGGAGCCTTCACTTTTGTTCGTGTATTTCCCCCAACACCTTGCAGTGTGAGGCACAAGCAGGCACTTGTGACAAGTTGAACCAAATTAGACACAAACCAGTACTTGATTTTACACCAAAATGCGGGCGTAACGGGAGGTCAGAGGAGAGAGAGCGATCAGTGCCAGGACATACAAGGCTACATTAGGGGCAGGGAGGCTGAAGCTGAGCACTCATGATGGGACCTGGCCGGAAGGACAGGAGAGGCCATTCCGGGACTGAGAACGGGGCTAATAAACACGGCAGAGAGCTCCGGCGAGAAGGCCACCCGAAGACAGCAGTGCTCAGTGTCTGATGCAGACAGACGCACTGAAGCTGCACCGAGATGCCCAGACCCGGGCCTCGCCCAGGGAGTCGCGCTGGGTCCCGCGGGGGGACGGGGCAGGGCGCAGGAAGCCGCCCCAGCTGCAGATGGGGGTGGGGGTGGGCGGGGAGAGGACCGTGGTGGCTGAGAGCAGGGGCTGCCTGGGCTGGAAAGGGGGCCTCTCCCTCTCTACCGTGTGACTGAACTTGGGCACATTCTCCACCTCTCTGTGTCTGAGCTTGTTTACAAGACAGCAAACCTGCCAGGATGTGCTCATTTTATCCAGACATGTTGGAGGACAGACTCACCAATCCCAAAATGCTCGTTCCACATGGTGTGCAGACCGATCGTTCCTTCGGCCAGGTAGTTCTTCAGCTCCTCAAACGGAATGTTTATTTTAAATTCCACCTCCCCCTGAACGCCCAGCTCCTCGCAAAGCCTTCTCAGCTGGTTCACCCTGAGCTCGTCGTCCTGGTTGCGGCAGCCTCCGATGAGGACGAGCTTAAGCGAAGGGGGGGCCTCGGCCTTCTTCCTGCCCAGCAATTTAGCAAAGGCTCTGATCTGCAAAGCGTGGTTCTTTTCGGGCCTGAACTGGCCCACGGACACCAGTACATGCCCCGGGGCCGCCCTCTTCTCCCGCAAGGGGATGTCCAGAAACGCCCGCACGTCGCAGGGCGGGTAAACGGTGTTCGTGCAGTGCCCGACCTTCCACAGCGAGAGGATGTGCTGCAGAGTCCAGGAGGAGTTGACCATGACCACGTCGCTGCAGGACCCCACGAGCCCGTACAGGAGGGCGAAGAAGCGGTAGTAGAGGAGCTTCCCCGCGCTGAGCACGGGGTTCCTGGCGATGAAGGCCGCGTTGTTAAACCCCGCGCTGCGGCTCTTCACCGCGGACAGCATGTCCGTGCTGATCGTGGGGTAGTGCACGTAGCTTCCCACGCGGCAGCCGCCCACGTACTTGAACAGGGGCAGCGTGAAGGCGTAGCCCATGGAGTCGATGTACACGTCGGGGACGCACTGCGTCAGCGCCTCCCAGCCCAGCAGCAGAGACCCCAGGCTCTGGAGCAGCAGCGTGAAGTGGGGGTACAGGGAGTCTTCCACGAGGTGGCGTCGCCTCAGGAAGACGAACGTCACCGGGAGACGCAGTCTGATGTTGAACCTTCTGGAGGCGCCCTCCAGTATCTGCTCACCGCTGACACCGACGTCGCCGGTGTAAACGACATACACGGCCGAGGGGTACCTAGGACAGAGGAGCCAGGGAGTTCACTGGTTTAGGTCGAAATCAAGCCACAAGTTGTAGGCGGTTTTTTCTCACAATCTTAGAAGCTTATTTTCAGACTAAAAAAAATGTTTCCCGCTGCTTTTCACTCATCGCGTTTGGACTACCGTCTTTCCAGCGAGACTTGTAGTTCTTGGCTGCCTCCCCCACTAAGCATTTCGCAGAGAGCAGACACAAACAAAACTGCTGATTTATAAACGAGACGTTTACGTTTTCAAGAATTAAAAAATACTTTGACAACTTTCTCAGTATAAAAATGGTAACAAAATACTAATAAAATACTCTAAACAAGAGTCACTAAAGATACCTTTACACAGGCCCGTGGACGCTAAAGCACTTCCCAGTGTTTTCTGGGAAAGGCAAGGAGGATCTAAAACCCAGATCGTGTGCCTGCGTCGCAATGAGACGTATAATAATAATGATGATGGGAATATGTAAAAGTGTACTCCGGTGACTTTTTAATGCTTCGGCCTCCCTCTTACTGTGTTTGTAATTATTCTTTACGTCACAAAACGTTAAATATCTAGTATCAGCTCCTAGATTCTGGGGATCCAAGGATGAGAGTCTCTATCCTCAAGGAGCTCAGTCCAGTCGAGAAAAGGCACATAAACTGCACAGCTGTGTGCTGTGTGTTGATGAGGAGCCACACAGTTCTGGGCAAGTCCAAAGGATGGGCATTGAACTGCTCCTCCCTAGCCCCCTCCCAGCTTCCAGAATGGCCCTTTGAAAATGTGAAGAGGAATGTCATTGCTGGTAGCGTAAGGATGGCCACAAAGTCTTTGATACTATTCCCATTCGCAGGTGGGTTCTAGGTCCCCTCCCTTGGAGCAACAGTGGGCTCTGCGACTGCTCCTGCCAACAAGATATGGCCCAGCTGCTCCAGTTCCTGGACCCCAGGCTATGCGGCTTCTATTCCACTCCAGGGCAGTCAGCTGTCATACAGGAAGCCCAACTATTCTGCGACTTCCGTGGTGTGTGCAAGCCCAAGGTGGTCACCCGGAGGAGAGGCTGCCAGGCGACAGATGCCCGACCGCCCCCAGCTGGTCCAGTCCTCTCGGCCCAGGAAGCAGATGTGAGGGGAAAGCCTCCTGCTGACTCCAGCCCCAGCTGCCATTTGTTGTGACTGTGACACAGGAGCACGAGGGACTCGAAACAGGTCCCATCGGGCCCCCCACTATGAGAAATAACAACAAATTCTGAAGGCATTACATGTTGGGGTGGCTTGTTATGCAGCAAGAGGTAATCAGAATATCACCTCTTTGCTTAACTCCCTGGGGGTGAAAAAGATGATCTGATCTGATCACAAATTCCTAACTGAGCAGGTCCTGGCGGGTTTTCAGTCCTGCCCCAGGCCTGCGTCTTATTTACTAAAAGGCTTATCTTTGCCTAAGACAAGCCCTGTCCACTGTGTCTGTACATCTGGGTCAATGCCTCTTGAAACACCTCTCTTCAGACACCGCCCTCTAAAGGGTGACCGTCCTCAAGAGGGCATACGGCCTTTCAAACTATCCTCACTCACAGGTACTTTGTTATTGTATTATCCTACTTTAATTTCTTACACAACGTTTCTCACCATCTGATACTTTTCTCCTCTGCTCATTATCTTGTCTCTCTCCAAGTCCCAGGTCTGCAACAGGGACTTGGTCTGTTTTGTTCCCCCTTTACTTTCTTATTTATTTATTTATTTTTAGAGAGGGAAGGGAGGGAGAAAGAGAGAGAAACATCAATGTGCAGTTGCTGGGGGCTGTGGTCTGCAACCCAAGCATGTACCCTGACTGGGAATCGAACCTGCGACACTTTGGTTCGCAGCCCACGCTCAATCCACTGAGCTACGCCAGCCAGGGGCCCCTTTACTTTTGATTCCTTTTGCAGCACCTGAAACCGAGTGGGTCCCCCCGAATACTGCTAGGTCGAGTGAAAAGCACACTGTAGCTTCTGCTGAGTCAGGAAAGACTTGTAGAAATTAACTGAAGAGAAAAAAATTATTTGAAGAAAAAAGGGAACGCCATACGACAAGGCAAGGAATCTGGAGAAAACGTGATGCGCCCAGTCGGTTTGCTGGAGCGCAGTGTGTGTGAAGGAGCAGAGAAGGTGAGAAACAACATGCTGCCAAAGCAAGATGAAAAAGCATCTTCTGTGTCATCCTCATCATCTGGATTTCTGTACCTTGTAGGTGAGTTAGGGAGGACAGGGGTTGCTGGGGAGTGTGTGTGCAAATCTAAAGCATTGCCACCGCCCTCAGGAGTTAGACAGTCTCGTCGGAGAGAACAAAGGTGCTCCACAGAGGTACGGGGATAGTGCAGATTAACGTAGGGAGGGCTTCAAGGAGGTGGGAATGGAGCTGGGATTTAAGAAAACTCTTTGGATTTAGGCACTTACGGAAGATGGAAGACGAGAGAAGAAGTACAGGGGTGGTGGCTGTCAGCCAGGATGTCCCAAGGACACAGAAATGTAGATGTACGGGAATCACCTGTGAAGGTTTGGAACTAAATGACGGGCACCTGCCAGGGAGCAGAATAACCATGGATGGGTGGACCATAGTTTTTCTCATACGATAAAACAATAATGGAACTTGCATTTTACTATGCCTTTTCTAAGAGGATATCTAAAGTCTATAAGGGAAAAATACTTTGGGGATGGGTGTGAGAAGGAAAAAGCCTAAAACATTAAATGATATATATATAACACCCTATTCTTTCTAAGATGGCAACATACTGAAGACTGCCCAACCGATAATGCTATCAGAACTAGAATCAAACAGATGCTTCGTCAAGGTTATTTCGGGGGTGCCACCACGGAGCAGAGTGCTCCATGGAACTTGCTGTTCAGTTAGAAAGGGAACTCCGGGCTATGAAAGTGGTACTAGAGAATGTGGTATTACAAACTCATTCTGGGTCCTGATTCTTTAAAAGACGACAGCAACATAACAAATCAGCTAAGAGGATGCATACCCACTTTTTCTGCAGGGCTCTTAGCGCGCACCACAGGACTCTCTCCCCGCCTCCGCCGGCGTTGCAGTAGGGATGGAAGAAGGCGACCACCACTTTTTGGCCAGTTGGTGCTGAGGTTTTCTTTCTCTGTAGCGCGACTCTGACTCTCCAAAGTGCAAAGATCAAACACAAGCATAAAGTTCCACATACGATTAGCCCAGGGAAGAATAATGAATAAAAAAACCTGAAACAAGAGGGAAAAGGTGGAACTTGATATAACGTCCATTAAACAAAAATAGGACTACAAAGTACATATCCACTTTATATATTACATATTAGTAACAGAGAAAATTTTTATAGCTTTCAAGTCTGCTAATGAAACACTCAATTATTAAAATTCTAATGTGACAAAATATCCAGTGATAAAAGTGTAAGTCCCCTTTAATTCCAATCTCCACAGTTAATGTTAACAATTTTATGTATTTTTCCTTTCTGATCAACAGTAAAAATCAAGGTTGAGCTACCTTTCCCCTAATTCAGCATATGTGTTAAAGGATTAATAGAAATTCAATCATTAATGTCAACATGACATTAGTACCAGCACCTGACCATCAAAGCGACAATAGGGGACGGCCCAAAATGTCTTCTTGAATGATTCATGTTCCATTAGTTAAAAGTCTGGGAAACAGTGCATCCCTTTTATTCTCTCACTTCACAACAAGTGGAACAATGTCTGAGGCGAGAGGAATGGAATTTAAATTTCTCCGTTTCTAGTCTGAGGTCTGCATTTGATCTGTCCACACGACCCTAAAGTCAGTGCCTTCCCTTACTTCCTGTGGATGAGCTGCCGAAGACCCACTGATGCTCCCCCACCCACGCACATTAGTGAACCCACTCCCACACTCCTGCCGGGAGGTCCTCTGTGACTGCCAGGTGGGCCGGGCGAGGCTCTGCAAAGACACGGACCCAGCCTCGCTCACCGCCACATCCCACAGTCTGGGCACAGATGTGGGTCGACTGACTGCAAAACTTTATTGCCTCCTCAGACGTCTCTTAAATTATGTCGAAATAATTTCTCATAATCTCTTTCTCTTAGGGTTGGTTTCCAACTTAGTGTTTATAATACCACGTCTACCCTTTATGAAGGAGTGGAGGGGCTTACAAGTTACAAAAACAATAAAATACTAAAATAGTAAAAAGCCAGGGGCCAGGGGAAATGCAGAGTCAGAGTGTGCTTCAGGGGGGCGGAGACAGGCTGGGGGGGAACAGACAGACATGCAGGCTCTCAGTCTGTCCGCGGTGCCGAGCAGGAGCCTGGGCTCGGGCTGCTCAGCGACCCAAGCAAATGTGGGTGTGTACTGTGTAGTCATGTAGTTTTCGTTGTCATGTGTAGAGAACACACAACTTTTTTTGGAAAATAAGTATCTTATTGGTCTTCAGGTTTGAAATAAATTTCTCGTGTGGGAGTTCCTTATTGTGATCAAGCCCTTCACTTGAAGAGGTATTTCACTTGTTAAAATGATGTGAACTCAGGATAACTTTATACTCAAAAATTACCGTGGGCCCCATATAGTTCTTGTTTAACATCAGGTTTTCCCAACTCTGATGCTGTAGACATTCTGGAGCAGATAATTCTTTGCTGTGGAGGCTGTCCTAAGCAGTAGAGGATGTTTAGCCATATCTCTGGCCTTGACCTCTTGGATGCCAGTGACACTCTGCCAATCAAAATCGCCTTCAGACACCGGTAAACGACCCCCAGGGGCAAAATTGCCCCTACTGAGAACCACTGGTTTACAATGATTATATCTAGCAATATTTAGCATATTAGAAATGAAAGCTGATGAATTACAAATACACATGAATTCATTAAAAAATGACAAACCCATTACTTGTTAACATTTTTATTTTAAAGAACCTTGTATTTTCCAAACCAAAAAAGAAAACTTACTAAGGACGTCACTGTTTACGTTTTGCAAATCAATTTGATGTCTGGCTTAACAGAAGACAGTGGCTTCTTGGATCTGCTTCTGCATTCAACCTGATATGTTGTTTTGTTCACGTATATGAAGAAAATACAGACTCACTCAGATATATAGAAAAGGGAGAATATTCTAATAGCCTTTTCAGAGAGTTGGGGGTATTTTTCTGTGATACTACACCAAATTAGAAAAAAGAGTCATTCACCCAGCAAACATTTATTTAGCCATCTTTATGTGCAAAACATTGAGTTAGGGATATTTCAAATGACAGGGAAGAATATGAAGGCTCTGAAAACAGACTTTCCCTTTCAAAATGTTTTCAAAAATCATTACAGAATTTGAAATACAAAAGGGACAAAAGTGAACAATACCTGAATTTTGGAGAGAATATGTAAATACTGCTATTCAGGATGCTATTTTGTTAATTATAAAATTTCAACTTGAACTAGAAGGGCAGGGCCAAAGTAGGTTTACAGGTGTGAGCAGGCAAAAACAGTTTCTTCTTATACTATCCCTGAGTAGTAATTACTGCATTATTTTTCATATGCACAACTGTAAACCTCCTTTTGCCCACCCTGTACGCAGGTGTTAAAAGAACTGGTTAGATAGAATAGACTAGACTAGGTCTTCCTGTTTTATTAGTGCAGGGCAAGACAAGTAAAATACCGCACCCGTTCAACAACAAACGTGGGGGAAAAGTCTAGGACTTTTCCAAATGTTAATAGTCGTTATCTCCAGGAGGGCAGCATTCCTGGCCAGTTTTCATTTTTGCTCATTTCCTAGTTTTTCTGTAAGAAACCATTCATTACTTATGTAATAACGATAAATGCAGTAGTATTTTATATGACTATTCTTACATTAATTAGAAATAAAGAGCAGTGGACGATCAAGAAGCAGGGGATTCAACAAAAACTTTGTATTTAAGTGACGTACGTTAGTGAGAAGGAAGATCCTTTTTCTTTACCAAAAAGACAGACATGACAGATTGGAAAATGAGGAACAGACAGGAATAATTTAACAGATTAATGGAGTGCAAACAAGGGAAAGAAAAAGTTGAAAAAGAGAGGGAAACTCAACCCCTTTGCCAGCAAAGGGGCAGGCGAAAAAAAGGCGGTAAACTGAGTCTTGGACCCAGCCGGCTCCAGTCCACCACGAAGACCCCAAAGTGAAAGAGCGCTCACTGGCCTTAAGAAAATAGGGTACATTCGTGACAAGGAAATCGCTTCCCCGCAAACTTCAATTGCGTAGACGGACAAGTACCACCGCAAGACAGAAACCTGTGAGCCCACACCACCGACTGCTCACCTGAGTAAGTCGCTCCAACCCCTTGCGGCGGCCGCCATCTTTAGCCGACCCCAGACTTCAGGAAGCGCTTCGCTATTTCGCTTTTCTATTGGCTACCGAGGAAGCGTGCGCTGTTTCCCCGCCTTCAAGAGGCCGACTCTACGTTTCAATTGGTTTACGATTGTAGCTTCCCACGGCCTTCCAGCCAATAGAATCGCTAGGGGTGTGGCCAAGTTTTCTGGCGTGTCTTGTGCGGGTTGCTCGGCCCATGGGCGGGGCTGTAGTGGGAGGTGGGATGGAGGGGGCGTGGCCGGTGATGGAAGGCTGGCTCTCCCGCCCTTGGCCCCCCTCCCCCACTGGAACCCTTTGCTCCGGGGACCCGGCCCCTGGCGCAGAGCCGGCCATCCGTTGGAGACCAATGGGAGGTCCTTGCATGTCTCGGATCGATTTTCCAGGCACTGAGTTCACACCCGAGGTGGCTGCGGCGTGTGAGGACCGCGGTTCCCGGGAGTCAGGCGCGGAGTGGGAGAGCGGACCCCACGCGGGCGCCGGCGACACCGCACTCCCCCCTGTCGCGGTGGGCGAGCCTCGGGATCCACATCTCCGACCCCGGTCTGCGAGGCTCACCCGCCCTCCTTCCCTCCCCGGCACACGCCGGAGCTGGAGACCGAGTCCAACGCGCACCGGCTCGAGGTAGCGGAGATGCGGGAGGGAAGCTGGGCTCCTGTAGGGGTCCCGGCTCGACCGAGGCACCAGCAGGCCGGCCTCTGGGTGTGGGTGTGGGTGAGGGTCCGAGGCCCACCCTCCCGTCTCGCTCCTTTGCCTGCGTCCCCAACGGCCAGGGGTGCGATGACACGCAACTTTGAATTAATCGGCACAGTGCCGGCAGTCGATCCCCTTGTCCGAAATGCAAGGGCCGGTTCCCAGGCCCCGGCTCTGCTTAGAGCCGAACCGAAGAGATGCCATCCCCACCCCGCTCCTCTTGCATGTCTGGGGTCTAACACCGCGCTGCTTTTTCACCAACCAGGTGACCTTTGGGCTGCGGACCGGATCTCAGAAGAAACTGGTTTCTCCGGGATAAGATTCCTGAGCGGGAGAGACAGATTACAGCTAGAGCAGGGGCCAGTAGGAAAGTAAGTTTTCTTCCCCTCGCCCCCACCCCGGTGCTGTGTGGGCACAGTACCCGGAGGGCTCCCCACGTCCACCTGCTCCCCTGCGTCCTCACCCCGCTCCTGAGGGTTGGCTGGGAAGGCGGGGCGCCGCAGCCCTACCCCCAGAAGAGTCACGGTCTGGGAGAAGAGCACCCTTTCGAAAGGGCATGCCTTTACCTGAACTGGTTTTCAGGAACAACTTAAAACCGGGAACTCTCCCGTAGGCCATTATGCTGGGGAGGTTAAGTGAGCGTTGAGTTGCTGGGTAAGAGCCCTAACTGCTCAAGAAGATGCAGTCAGTCCCCTGCGGAAGGTATTCAGAGTTGGTGCGTAGACCCTTTTTTGGTCTCCCGAGGTCCTGCAGCTTTTTTTTTTTAAAGAGCTATTTCCAATTCATTTTCCTTAGACAAGTAACCCATTATTAGTACAGTCTCTTAAAGTGCAAACAGTACAGGGATATATAGCATGAAAAGCAGATCAATTTTCTAATCCTTTTGTATCTATGTCCATATGTCTTCATTTGTTCAGCAAATATTTATTGAATACTTACCAAGTTTCAGGCGGTGCTGAGCTGAAAATACATACATATCATATGTATTGTATACATATCCAGAGAAATCTTTAGGTTTTGTGCAATTTTGAGCATTCAAAATTTTTGCTTTATACACATGAGATCACATAGTGTGTATTCTCTCCAATCTCCCCCCCCCCACCAGTGTAACAGTTTATTTTGGAGATTGTTTCATGTTGATACATAAGCATCTGTTGTGTTCATTTTAAACTCTATACAGTATGGCGGCATCTTAATTGTGTTTACTGTTTACCAGTGGGTGGACATTCTGCTTGCTTCTTCCTCACCTCACCTCCCCGTAACAAGCCAGGGTGTAGTAGGCATCCGTGTGCAAAATTTATAACACTGACACTTAAGCATTTCTTTACAACAGACACTTAAGCCTAGTTTGCTGGTCTGAAGAGTAGGCTGTGCCTTTTCTATGGATTCCTGAAATTAATTCAACATTATTTATTGCATGTCCTATTGTAGTGAAATTCGCCTAAGCTTTGTTGGCACAGAAATGAAATATCGTGGATTGATGGGTGGGTGGTCTGGTCAACTGATGATTCTTAGCGTGATGACGCGGCATCTAACGGAGGTATGGGGAGCACTCGCGCGGGGGAGGGCTGGCCTGCACAGAAGGGGAGAGCCTTCCAAGGGCTGCACTGACCCCACCTCTCCACCCGTCAGAAAAATCTTCAGCCTTCCAGATCAGGCTTCAGACCTGCTTCTTCCCTGAAACTTTGTAACCGCCTCTGCCCACATTGGCCTTGTCCTCTTCTGGATTCCTTTGATAACAGTAGTAGTCGACGTTACTGAGGTTGCTCTGCATGAGGTTGCTCTGCACAAGGCTCCGCTGTGCCTCCTTCCTGGCAGGGCTGTCTTCCCCACAGAGAAAGCTGGTTCTCCAGCCTCCTCAGTGTCCAGTGTCAGAAGCCAGCGACAGCCCTAACAGCAGCACAAGGCATAGCTGGTACACGAGTAACTGTCTGGGGGGTGAGAGAGCTGGATTTCGGACACTTCTTTACCTGACATCCACTTTCTTCTCCATCACAAAGCTCGGGGCAGCCCTGCCACATGCTCTGCACTGACTGCACAGCATAGGAACCAAGGAAGTGTCCAAATTCAAATGTGGGCAACATCAGTCTCATCTCTAGGATTGGCATTACCGCCAAGTGAAAATCTGCAATGTCTGTGGGTTTTTCTTTTTTAAAACTGACTTAAAGGGAAAAGTCTGAACCGATCAAAGGTTGATGAGATAAAATACAGGGCAAAGCAGAGAGTGACGTAACTAACAGCAAATAAGACTTTAAAAACGGCAGCGATTGTGCAATCTGCTTTTGGAATGTAACAGGGTTTTTTTTTTTAACTTGGTTCCTGTAGAAACTAAAAATTACAATGCATTGGGTATTAGAAATGTTTCAACTTGTTTTTAAAAATTATTATTATAAAAGCAAGTTAACTCCATAACAAAAATTTGGAAATAAAGACCAAAGGGGGAAAAGTTACTTTTCTTCCAACCACTCTCAAGATGGCTGTCGTCAGCAGGTCTGTAAATGCCCTTCATGGTGTGCTTTGGCTGCATCTAGTTATTAAGTTTCAGAAATAAAAGAATATATTCTTGCCATGCAGAGATAACCAAAATTAGCATCTTTGGTCCAGTCTCCCCTTTCCATGCTGGGGGACCCCTGAGTCCCCTGCCCCACCCTGCTGGCCAGCGGCCTTCTTGGCTCCTCCAGCAGAGGGAGAGCCTTGCTAGGGGTGTTCAGGCAATGGAGTGGCTGGTACTGCCAGCAGTTTCTGGTTTCTGGTTGTCCCTGCAAATGCCTTATACTTGTTCCTTGCTGACTTCCTGCGCCTCTTACAAACCGTCACCACTTGCAGCCAGCCTTGTGCTCCGTCCCTGCCTCCTCTGATTCTCAACAAATGAAACAACCTCAAGTCTTTCTGCGAGAAAATTGACACCATTGTGTATGAGTTTCTTCAACACTCTGCTGATCTCTACCCACCTTGTCCCCAAATTTTATCTGGAGGCACGAACTCTGGCCCCAGGACAGGCCCGCCTTCTTTTAAAGAGCCTCCTCACGAGCCCTGACATACAGCTTCCTCTTGTGTTTCACTGGCCCGAACTTTGCAGAAGTTTTCAACATTTTAAGCTTCGACGACTTTATCTTGTGTAAAACTCTAGATTCTTGTGTTCTCTTAGACTTGTCAATGTAAGAAATGTCCAAACCTGTCGACAGTTTTTATGAGTTTATCTGAGCCAACCCGACAGCAATTTGTGGGAAGCAAAACCTCAACGGATGGAGAAGATGCCCCAGAGATTGGCAGGTTGCTGTTCACTGTACACCTCACACAGTCAGAGGAGGAGACGTAAAGAGAGGGACAGGAAGTTCTTTGGTGGCAGAGTAGGGAGATGGGAGAAAGCAAAGCAGGGAGGTCTCTGGGATTGGATAAAAAGTAAAATGGAGAAACAAATACTTCTTTCACCTTGGTGGGTGCAGGAGAGTTAACAGTGAACACATACAGCATGTGAGGGCCACAAGGTAACAGTGAGGGGCTCCTCGTGAAACCGAGACGTCGGCCTTCGAGATGCCTGTCGAGATGCCTGGCACCGCTGGGACCAATAAGCAGAGACAGGGATTGAGTCCTCGTGGGCGCTTTATTCAGATGGCCGGCCATCCGAGAAGATGGCGGGTATATGCCCGAACAGACCGTCTTAAATTCTCGTTTACACCGACCCTTTTAATGAGGAGAAGAAGGGTGTGGGTGAGGGGTTTGGAATTCTGGGGAAAAGTCAAACATAGAAAGCTGCAGCTTTCTTCTGTGTCCTGGGCGGCGGGCGTCTCACCGGGCGCACAGTGGCTCCGATGCCGTCCTGACAGCTTGCAGTGTTCCTGCGGCACAGGGATGGACCTGCTTCTGGTCTCCGGGAGTCGGGGTCGGGGGGTTCCTACCTTCAGTTCCTGAAACAATAGCTTTTAACGTACATTGATTGCTAAGCTTATTAGCTATTCTCTGAAACTAAATTTTTTTCCAACACCGGAGTCCCTTATCCTATTCAGATAATGATTTGCAAACCAGGAACGTACCCTGGTACTTTCAAACCCTGGCATGAACCGAGAACACGCTCCGAAACGGAGGGGACGGGGCAACGTTTTTAGAGGCACAAGTGGTGAGGAGGGAGCTGATGATCTAGGAGACGTGTTCTGGGGCAACAAGACCGCACACGTAGCGGACTCAGTGGTCACGCCAGTGGGGTTTCGAGGTGAGAACGATGGGTAGTATATGAACAAGCATTTAGCGAAGTCCTGGTTTTAGCACAGGCCTTTAGAACAGAAAGGGGTTGTTGGGGTTTCTTTTTTTTTTTTTTCTCCATCACACAGTTATAGTGCAGGGATTGTTATTTCTCAGGGGTCCTGCAAGGAATACGATTTATCAGACAGTACGATGAGCCCAGGCGGGCTGTGTGCTCTGCAAGGGGTTTCAGAGCCCAAAGGGAAAGCGGGGCATTGAAGGCAGTTTCAGAGCTGAGGCTGCAAAAAACCAAACTTTGGGCCACGGTTAGGATGTTCAAGTTGTTACAAAGTACTCACCTGCTCGTTTAGGTCACTGTGCCTGCTCTTGGCGGTATTTGAGCTCAGACTCCTGGCTCGGAGCGCAAGAGAAAGGAGTCAGTGAAGGAGGAAAGAGTCAGCGCTCCGTGGGGCATCTGCAGAATGAAATGTTAAATATTCGTCTGGAAGTTGAGTGTTTTACGGCACCGGCCACATTCTGATCTGTCTGTGTTCATAGCAAACAAATACGTTTTTTGTTGGGCATTCTCTGTCATTGACTCAGTCAATAAGTATTTATTGAGAAACATGAACATAAACACCATTGTAGCGCTGGGGATGCAGCTCCGAGGAAAAAAAACAGAGAATTGTTGCCCTTGTGAAACTTACATCCTAATTGGGAGACATTAAACAAATAACTGAAATATATAGCTCGTATCAGATAGTAGTGAAGTGTTCTGGGGAAACTAATCAGGAAAGGATACAATAGTAAGGGGGGGGGGTGTTTGAAGTGTAAACATGGTAATGAGCGGAATCCAGGGAGCAGACCCATAGGAGCTGAGGAAGGGGGCGGCCTCGCTATGGGGTGTTGGGGAAGGGACGTTTCTAGCTTCTAACCCAGAAAGCAGCCAGTGTAAAGGCCCTGAGGCAGGCGCCTTGCTGTGTTCCAGGAACGGAAAGATTGGAGTGGTTCTAGCAGAGTGAGTGAGGATGAGGGGTGTGAGGATAGGTAGAAACAGAATGATGGGGCAAATTCTAGAAGGTTCTCTAGGTCCTTTGAAGGAATTTAGGTTTCACTCCGAGTGTAAGGAACTGCCCTGGAGGGTTGTTAGAGGATTGTCCTTATCTGACTTCCTTTTAAGGGCATTCCTCTG